CAGACTTCCATCTGTGTCACCGGTAATGAGGAAATACAGTGAGTGCTGGACGGAGCAGTGAGTGACAACAACCCCGCCCACATTTAAGAGGACTGTTTGCAGTGGAAACACTAGGGTCTAGGTACCATGTCTGAAGGGTTACTGTTGGTTCCAAAGGTACCATACAGAAAGTGTTTGGTGGAGACGGGGCTTTCCATGGCTTTAGTTGCGCTTAGATGCGTCCTAGTTGCAGGGGTGGAGTTAACCATTTTTCAACCTTAAGTGATGGGAGGGGCTTAAGAGAGCTTCCACAATTTTTTTTATACTAAGTTTAGTCGCTTAACCAATTTATTCAGCCATTTTTTATTTAATTATGGCAACGATTACTTAAAATTAAACATTTCAAACAAAGTCAGACTTTTCATTCCAGCCTTTTAGATGGCCCCCTTCCCATTGGAGTCCTGGGTAATCAGTCCCACTTGTCCCCGACATTGACACCCCTGGGTGGCAGCTCCAAGGATTTAATGGAAAAATGGGAGAAAAATGAAAAATGATCCCCCTCCTTTGACAGATCAGACAAAACCCGAGACGTAAATGTTTTCAAAGGCCTTTGTTTGCTATAGTCGCTTTAATATTTTAAAATCTTTCATGTTTTATAAATTGAGCTCCCAAATTTCAGTTCCTCTTCAGGATTTGTGCACGTATGATATTGCCTTGTGATTTTCTGTTGCCATTTGTTGATGTTATTTCACTCGCTATAGTCGCGCTCTTCACTTGTACAGGACTTTGGTCAATATGAATAAACATAACTCATCTGGCCCTGGCTGTGAGATCAGAAATAAAAGATTCTTGACACAGTTGCTGGATTTCAACAAAACCTTTTTAATTTCACTGGTACTGTTTATAAAATCAGCGAGTCTGCTTTGATGCCAACTTAAACATGGTGTGTGTGTGATTTGTGTTTGTGTATTTGAGGTGGGATTAGTGATTGTGTATTGTTGAGAGTGCGCCGTGTGTTGGTACAGGTGAGGTGTCGTGTGTGGTCTGTGTGTGTGTGTGTGTGTGTGTGTGTGTGTGTGTGTGTGTGTGTGTGTGTGTGAATGTCAGATTGCTTGATAAGGCAACATGCAGTCATCAGTTTCCATTGGCCTCAAAGTAAAAACACACAAACCTGCTCCAGACACAAACACACACACACTTTGCTGGCTGAACCGGTTCTATATTAACACACACATAAATATACACACATACACACACACAGTACATACAGACACACACACACACACTGTTGCCGGGCAGACGAGCAGTCAAAGGTGGCATCACACTGACTGAGAGGTGAAGAGAGTCCTCTGACTGGCTGAGAGAGTTGATGGACGGGAGCTTCATAACAGCCAGGGTTCTGACTAGTTAGTGTGAAATAAAAAACTGCCCTAAAAACAACTACACATCCCAGAATTCAAGCTGTACACAGAACTACACATAAAGCTGATCCACGACAAAAACCCGAGCTCTCATTCTGCTCTCTGAGCGGACTGATTCCTCACAATGTTTTTCATCACAGACTTGTTTCTCCTGATGGCATGCAAACCGCTTTCACAAAGACTAAAAAGCAACTACATGATAACAAGAGGTGACCGGTATCAGCTGCTCATATTTCTTCCTTGAATTAACCCCTTACACCTAGTTTCCCTTTTAATTTCCCCTTCAATAGCTTTAAATCTGAAAAAAATCTGACATATATTCTCTACCAGCCTGTTTGAACTCTTCCTTGAATCTTTTTGATGTTCACATTGAGGGAAATATTCAAACACAAGATGTTTGTTTTTTTATGGTCATCACATTGAGTTATTATAATTGTACAGTGCAGCTTTTGAAGCACATTCCCCTTGATATTCAGTTTGTAACCACTGGAGAGGTTGAAGATGTTAATCAGCTTCTTAAATAACTCATACATTCTTCTCCGAAGTTCGAGCAACACTGGTGAAAAAGGAGATGTCAGGGATTTCCATGAACCAGTCGGAGTTAAGGCACCGTCACACATGAGAAAATGGCCAGGGCAATATTCATGCTGGATGTGGGCGGTGCCTGATGTTAATAAACACCGCAAATTATGATGTTATTGCTGCGTTTACCATTATCTTGAGTTCCACGTCTGTCTCCCGTTAGCATCTCTCATGTGGGGCAGTTTGTAATTTTCATGGCCAGTGTCATACAATATTGACTGGTTGCATGCAGTAACAATCAGTTTCTCCTTCACGTCAGGTCACTTCTTGGTAGATCGCCACCTAAAACTCAAGAGACTACTTTGACTGTTACCTTGAGGACTTGTTATGGATCTCTGCTGTATTTCTATAAAGATAATATGTCGCCAAGTGAAACACTTTGGAAACACTGGACCTTCAAACACTTCAACAAACCCTACGTCACTCTGATGACATGTTCAGGTAAAATGGGAGAGTCAAGTTTGTTTTTTTAAATGGTTAAATTCATTTAGTAGTGACGTCATACATTTATGAAATCTTTAATGTTACCTAACTTCCAACTTTTGCGTCATGCTTTCCCTGTTTTCTCGCTGCCTGTTTCCTTGCACTGGACTCACTGCATCACCTTTAATAATTATGAGTCAGGTGGAATTTACACTTCTGGGTTAAATTGTCGCAGTAGCTACGGCGTAGGCTCTACATCAATACAGAGCCTACGCCATCGCCTGACAAGCACCTCCCCGGAAATGTACATGTCGCAGCGACGTTGGTGTGTCTTGTGTGTGATTTATCCTGGCTTCATGTGAGCAGAGGAAATCTCAGCTAGTCGCTAGGCTAATTTATACAATGTAAAATGCCATAGACTTGTGCTAATAACGTTAGCATGTTGTATTTGTTTGGAAAACGTGCTTAGTATAAGACAGTTGTTTTGTCAGTGAACCTTGTGAGTTGTAATGGAGCCAAATTTTGTACCGTTACCTTTGTTAAATGTTGCTGTTGTCCCTGGCTTCAGTTGAGAGGAGGGAAAGTTTGCTGGTCGCTAGGCTAATTTATACAATGTAAAATGCCATAGGCTTGTGCTAATAACGTTAGCATGTTGAATTTGTGGGGAAAATGTGTCCAGATAAAGACAAGTGTTTGTCTGTGAATGCTGCGAGTTATAGTGAAGCTGATTTGTGTACTTGTGTTTGAAATTGTCTCTATTAAGCCATGTTTAATGTGTGTTTAATGTGTGTTTTGAATCAACTAAACTTTACGGCACGTCACAGAAACCTCCACCGCCGACTAGTGTTTTAAAGGTGTAACTGCAGAGTGACACAGACACACCACCGCACAAGTATAAATGCTCACAACGGCGTAGGTCACGTACGCAGGCTACAGCGTAGGGTCTGCCGCATAAGTATAAATCCTGCTTCACAATGGCACTAAACATGTCTGTAATATTACAGGGGGCACACAAAAAGCATAAGTTATGATTTTATGGCACCTGGTAGCCTAAAAACATGCTGGTTTCACTACAGAGAAATATCACATTTTAGCTGAGTGCATTACTCACACAAAACCTTCCCATAAAAACTTAAGTGTATTGTGAAAATATAATGATAATAAAAATGCAACATCCTTAAGCCATTTTTGGCATTACACCTTGTTTTAGCTGCAGTACTCCTATTACCAAAACCAACATTACAGATGGCTTTCCTTTCCTTTTCCTCTTTTGTTTAAATCTTTACTCTGCCCACCCTCATTATCTCAGACCAATAAAAATGATTGTTTTATGCACAGCACCTTTTTAGTAACAATGCAATAACATGTTTGTCGACTTGCTGCTAATATTTAAAGAGCCAGACATGTAAAACCATATTTGTCCCATTTTACCCGACTTCACCCTGCTCCTTTGCAGGTCACAGTTCAAAGCTGAACTCCAGGTGATGCGCAGATGCAAATCTGTTTTTCCATCGGAAGCGTATATTTTATTTTCCCCTTCGCTCACTTTGAATGGAAGTAAACGGGGGCAAATTTCACTCATGTGTGACTGTGCCCTTAAAGAACCAAAATCTGCTTGTTGTCTCGCTTCGGCTTTGCTTATTTAGCCACAAATATTGAACGTTACAGAGAAATTGTGTGAAAATCTGAAACTAAACACCAACTTGCTCGTTTTCTCATGCATCACAAGAACACAGTTCAAAGTTTCCGCTCTAACAGCTGAGAGAAATGAGCATTGTGTATTGCTTCCTGGTTAATAACCCTGTTTCTAATATCGAGGCCAAACTCACACAAAGCCATACAAAGCTACACAGAATAGCTGCTACTCTACAGTTACAACACGAGACAAGTCATTCTACACATCTGTGCATGCAGTCTACTGTAGCTAACTAACTAACTACTGCACACATAACAGAAGGATATCTGTCCTTGATGCACCATTCCCTGCACAAGCCTCTGGAGATTTATTTTATATGCCAGCAGCTACACATGCACACACACACACACGTAGATAAGCTAACATGGACACACAGGCACACAAACAGCAGATCACACACCCTCTCATACCCTGCCTCAGTCACTCAGTGACTTATTGTTATTGTTAAGGAATGCAGAGGCTTAACTGTATTTACACACCCAAAAAATTCCCAATGGTTGCCCGGTGTGTGTGGCTGTGCTGGCATTTGCGGTATGTACTGTATGTGTGTGTGTGTGTGTTTAATGCGTGTGTTAAGTGAAGGTGTGTCTCTTTGTTTGTGTGTACGTGTGTGTTTGTGAGATTTCCCTATCGGTTGGTAGGCGAGGGTGGTTGGCGAGGGGAGGGGGGACTGTAACAACACCAGGGTTCATATCAGGACGACACTAACACACAGGTGAGGCGGAGACGGGCAGTGGAGGAAAAGCTACAGGCTGAAGAAAATCAGAGGGGAGGAGACGGGGTGAGGACAGGTGGCAGCGGGCTGCTGCTGCTGGGAGGGTGGGGGTGAAGGGGGGCATCACAGAGTGACGAGGCAGAGGGGGAGATAGGGGCTGAGGTGCGGCATCCGGAAGAGTCTGTTTCAGTTGATTTTGGTTCTGTAAAGTCACAAAAAAATATGTTGAACATCTGGAGTCTGGTACAGCGAGGCAAGGGGAGCGAGGGGCCGCTGGAGAGCACGGGAGGGAAGGTCCTGAAGACGACTAATAACCCTGGAAGAAAGGAGGGAGGGAGGAAACACGTCAGTTGTGGGAGACATACTCAAATTCTTTAGTTGGATAAAAGTAGCACACCACAATGTCAGAAAAATAGGCCTTTAAATGTTAAAAGGGCACTCTGCGGAGATTAACTATCAAGATCAGCTTACTGGTTACTGAGCAGTAGTGGAAAGTAACTACGTACATTTACTCAAGTACTGTATTTTAACCCGTTCAGATCCTCCTCAGAGTGAATTTAATGTTAGGGTCCACTGCATTAATGTGTTCCGTGAAGGTTTCCACTTCCTCAGTTTTGATCTTGACCCAGGTGTCGTCCACATACCTGAACCAGTGGCTAGGAGCAGTTCCTCTAAAGGTGGTCAGAGCTCTCTTCTCCACATCTTCCATGTAAAGATCGGCCACTATAGGGGACACCGGTGAGCCCATAGCACAGCTGTGCTTTGTCTGTAAAAACTAGCCTCGGTTTTTATTCACTCTGAATTTTGTCTGGATTCTGGTTCCGGTCTAGAGAGCGGATGCAGAATTCACCAAATTCACCAAAGTAAAACTTTAAATTCTGGCGCACCATCGATTTGGGGTGATGAGGGGTGTAAGAAAATCTATTAACTTAATGGCTTGGGGCTTTTCTTGTAAATTATATTCTTTAAATTAAAAGTTTCACCGCATTTTTATTAGCTTGGTGCTTTTATTTTGACGGAAAGGCGCAGCCATCGAATTCCGGATCCTGTCTCACTTGCCCTGGTTCCGGTTCCTTACCAAAATGGCCACTAACGGCCCCAGACTAGTAGAAACCCTCGTTGTACTTGAAGTGGGTGGTGGTCAAACTACGATCCAGCAGGTCACAAATGTGGTCTGGGTGAAGTTGGTCCTGTCTGGAAGGGAGCTGTCTGGTAGCAGATGTGTCCTCACAGTCTTAACTGCTTCTTTGATGGGAATGCAAGTGAAAAGTGAAGTGATGTCGTATGATACCATAGTTTTGTCAGAGTCCAGTGTTATCTCTCTGGTCTTGTTGGTAAAATCCCGAGAGTTCCTTACATGGTGTGGACTGTTGCCAACCAGGGGAGCTATGCTATGCTATTTATGATCATTAATGTTTGTGGTTTGATATGGCAACAAATTTGACCAATTTTATCAACAGTAACAAGATAAGATGCTGTTAATTAGGAGGTACTCAGTTGAGGACATTGGGACTTTACTGTTGTCTTGTTTGAAGACACTGGGCCTTAATTATCATTGACAAGGTTTAGGGTTTTTTTTTACACTTATCGGGTACTACTGATCCCAAATAGCTAGATGAAAATAAAAATACATACCAAACAGTAAGTTCGGGTCTCAGGCGGATATACATATACATGTGGTAGAACAAAGTACAAAGTCTTACATAATCGAAAAACCTTGATAAAGAAGTCATAAAGAATCACAGAGTGAGTAAATGTATTTAGTTTCTCTCCACCTGCACTTAGCCAAATGAGTCACATAATTTGATTTAACTGAGCTGCTTCTCATAAATGATCTGCTGTGCTTTGATACCAACTTGTTTTCTTACCTCTCCTCCTTCCCCACCCTGCTCCATTCCACCATATTCTCCCTGCCAGAAGAAACAAGAAGAGTGAGAACAAGTTAGACACATAAAAAGAGGTGGAGTGGAGATGATGAAAGGATGAGGTGATGGCAGGGCGGAGGGGCCTCAAGCACCGAAGGCCATCTAGCTTTCGTTTTCCTCCAACTCTGATGTAATAAAGCAGTTAAGACTACAAAGACCATGCTGTAGGATTGACTCGGGTCTTATTATCATGCTCAAGAGTTCCAAGGGGGTTCGGTTAGTTGATTAGAGCTTTACAGCATGTTGCCGGGCTCCAGGTGCACAGGCCTTGCTCAGCCTGAGCAGTGCATGAAGCCATTTTGGTGCATGCCATGAATATATTCACTTGCTAATCTGACGTGCTGGAGATGTGGCTTAGCACTTGTAGGTTACTTAATGCTACCCAGGAGAGCTACATGGTTAGAAATGGAGAGTTTTAGTATCATTGTTGCCTAAACCACACCAGTGAGTGCGCGTCTGAGAGGTCAGAGGAAAATGTTTGCTATATTCAGAGTAGGAAATTGTGACATGTTTTTATGCTGTTAAACCATCAATGGAAACAATAATAATGGAAGCAAAAAGAGACATAAGTATTTGAATTTTACAGCCGCTGAATACTTAATTGTAAAAGGTAAACATCTCTGGATTCATGATTTTGAAATATTTAACTTTGAAAAACGTAGCTAAATTTATTTGTTCTGAATTTACCACTTTGAAATTAAAACATGAAATTTTAGTTATTTGCAATTTAAAAACTGAATTTGCATATATTTTTTGTCAATGTTCAGAAATTTAGATAAAAAAAAAAAAAAAAAAGAAAGTTTCAGAATTTCCAAAATTAGATTCAGGTTACTCAGGTCGTCTCACAGCAAGAGGGTTGCTGGTCCAGTGTGGGTTTCTCCAGGTACTCCAGCTTCCTCCCACAGTCCAAAGACATGCAGGTTAACTGGTGACTCTAAATTGTCCGTAGGTGTGAATGAGAGTGTGAATGGTTGTCTGTCTCTATGTGTCAGCCCTGTGATAGTCTGGTGACCTGTCCAGGGTGTACCCTGCCTCTCTCCTAATTTCAGCTGGGATAGGCTCCAGCCCCACTGTACTCATGTCTCTTATTTGCTTCCACATTTATCCAAATACTTCAGCATGTTTTGTCCATTTTAATTTCAGAAGCATCACAGCAGCTTCTGTTTCTTCTTTCCCCTGCTGACGCTCACTTAGTCTGTTGTGGGCTCTTAGCTAATATACACTGAGTTACCAGTTTATTAGGTACACTTGTGCCATTTAATGTAACCCAACACAACAGTCCTGCAGTAAATCCTACCGTAAAACATTCTGCAGGAAAAGTCAGATTTATTGCAGGTTAACTGGATTAGATTGTACAGGCATAACCAATAAACTGGTAACTTTGTGCATGTAGCATGCAGTGTATCCCCCCCCTTTGGCTGCGGTCGAATAGTCAAGAAAAATTACATCTTCCATCTTCCTAAAAACTTTTGCTTGACCTCAATGGAAAATGTCATGGGGTCAAAGAAAGATGGATAAGAGAATTCATGATGACTAAGAAGAAGATAACCTCTGTGCTAAAAGAATCCAACTTCACTTACACTAAGCTACGTAATTATGCAATGTTGTTGACATGGGTCTCCTGTGCATGGTGAAACTACAATATGCTACTACTTACGAAGATGGACTATGAAAAGTGTATCTTAGATGTCCCTTGGACTCTTCTAGTATTTTTCTGATCAGTCTAACATGTTTTTTGCAAAGTTTTACATTCCTACAAGTAAAGTTGAGTGACTAAAACCTCACCTTCACATTTTCAAGAAAGGAAGTGATCTATAGAGACAGAGCGCAATGCGTCATAATCTGAAAGCCACGCCCCCAAAGGGGAAACAAGGCCAAAGATACTGTACTATAACAAGATGGCCCACCTACAATATACCCCTATTGTATGAAATGGTATACATTTCCGGTCTCCTACGTAGGCGTTGTCCCCCGTAACCCAATCAAAGATGATGGAGAACCGCCAATCCCGTTGTCGGATACGACATGAAACTACTCCAGTTAGCTCAATCATGTTGTAACTAAGACATCCACTGGAAAAAAATATTTTTTTAATCCAGTATCTTTGGTAAAACTGCACTGATTTCAGCACCAGAGAGGAGCTTTCTGTTGCCAGATCTTGCGAGAGTGTGTTTTGGTGCATTTTGGTGTCTGAATGTTCTGAATATATGTGGCTTGTGATAAATGGGTCCAATATTTGCTTCCGTGACTATGGGGCGAAAGAATCAGCCATAATCTGTAATCACGTTCATTTCTCCCACTGAAGTCAATGGACTCAGGACCTGCTGTTAGTCTCCTAAAGGGGCGTGGTGGTCGCGAACCCCACGTGACACTGATACAGGAAACTGACTTGCAGTGGACTGTCTTGGTTTATCCACTGTCTTTGACGAGGCCCGCTTTCCCCTCCATTCCCCGCCTGCTGAGTTTTCACTAAGCCCAAATGCCGAAAAGTTGCTGTGTGGTGGGCTGCACGGCCAATAAAAACCCAGAGCTTAGCTTTTATCAGCTGCCGAGCAGAAAAATGGAACCTTGTAGAAGACAAAAATGGATACAGACAATAAAACGTGAGGCTTCAACAGGGAAGAAATTGTGGAGCAAACACTTTGTCAAACCCTCCAAATGTATTTTTTAGAGTAACAGTTAACTGTATTTATGTCCATAAGCTAAAGCACTGACAGTATGAATGCAAATTCTGTTATAATTGTGCCCAGCGCTCCGCGACTCAAGCAGTCCATTCCAGCTGTCCGCTCTAGCACCTCTATCAATCTACCAGCATGTAGAGGCATGTCTTAAAACAACAACGTGTGCCAGTAGGAGCAGGCTGACGGCTGTTGACTGCACAGCAAACAATAAAAAAAACAAACAAAAAAAAACACAGAATTGCAAGTGAGAATGGGGAAAGAAGAAGTCTGTGGCTCACAGCCATCAAACGGCAGGGTACAGACGGAAAGCCTGTCACTACACCTAGCTTTACATCTGTGGCAGGCACTTCATCACAGGTTAGTTGGCTAATGTTAGCTAGCTAGCTAAAGTCAGTTGATCTCAACAATAACATGAGATATTCAAAGCCAAGAAGTTAATTCTAATGAATGTTGAGTAATGAATCGACAGGACATGAATTGAATGAATGAATTGACAGGGTCATTCGTCCACACAGAGGCTAGACTCACATGTCAGTCTTTAGACGCTTTGCTTAACTAAAGACTGATGTCTTTCTCCCTGATTTTGTGTTTAGATGGGCGGATACAATTTCAGAGTTTAAAAAAACTCCCTTCGTTGCAGAACCAATAGTAAATCCGCAGGGCGGTCCTTCGGTGGCTCGCTGAACTCTTGTGCTCATAAACATAGTCCAACTAGAAACATGTGTAGCAGTACAAAATGGCTCAAGTCACTGTAAGTCCTTCATTTCCACAATCTTGTTGACTGAGCACACGTTTGATAAAACGGAGTTAAATCTCTTGGCATCTATTTTCAAGCTCTCTGTGTGTTTGTTTCCTTGCGGACGAGAAAAGGGGGAGCGCACATTTCCAGGAGGGCGTGTCCTTTTCAAAAATGCAAGAGGCGTTGCTTTGTTGCTGGCCGTTTTCGCCGGTGTGTTAAACACACTTTAGAAAGGAGTGTCCCCAGACTATCAGAAGCCGGAGATCTCTGATTGTCTGGTGGCGAGACTACACAGAGGCTGGCAGCTGAAAAGGGCACACACCTCCTATCATTTTAACTTTCTCGTCGTACCGAAGGCGATCAGGACCTCTTAAACTCTCTCCGTTGCATGTAGCCTGACTGGCCATTTCATCCGAAGGGGAAAGACTCAACTGATTTGTTTTGATTTACACTTTATGTGTGTGAAGAGCTCTGCCGCCAGTCAAAATCCCATGTTTCTATCACCTATGACATCACCGGCGCGCGACCTGTTGTAGCCCTGTTGAAGTCATGTATTGCACTGACTTTAATTTGGGAAACTAGCTTAGCTCTGAAGAAGCACAGAGGTATTTTAAAAGAAGCACAGGAGCAGCACACTGATGATGTCAGAGGACTGCAATGTTTGTCCAGGAGCACGATGTGGGATGTTGATCCAGGATCATGCCCAACTTGGCAAAATCACATTGCGCATAATAGACATATGGCTTGTTTTCATGAATGGCAAAATGGCGTGTCACTTGAACTGTTGCTGCTGCAAGCTAACGTGGGACGGCACTATCTCCTTTCCTTTCGTAAAGGATGGTCCAGTGTATCCTATGCAAAAGGAGATCAGAAAGGAAGCACTGAGGCACCTTTCCTTAGCATTTAAAGATTTCAACCAGCTCTTGTCATGGCTGCCACTTAGATACTTTCAGGTCATGACACTCAGTAAGGAACCTTCCTAAGAAAAAAAAAAAAGACCATTCCACCGCAGCCCGTGTTTCTCCTTCACTCCAGCCCACCCCAGCATGACCTATGACCCCACACTGCTCTGTCCAATATGCACCTCGTATACAGGCTCCTCCTATCAGGGAAACACAGATGAGACACACAACATGAACAACACAAGCAGAGAACAACAGCGACACAGAACGACACACAAGACAGAAGCACTGCCACAGTATTGTGACAAAAGAAGTGACACACAAGACAAAAAATTTAAAAAAAAAAAAAAAAAAAAGACATGCATAAGGCACAAAAGTTAGATGAAGGCCATCTAACATCTGAGTCAAGTGTCACGAAGTAAACAAATAACTGTAATATAACTGTGTGGTATACGTGGGCTTTAATGGAGGTGGCATATTTTAAGACCAGGTTAAAACAGTACATAGTTACTAAAACAGTGCAAATACATAATAATTCACATTCTCATGTTGGTCCTTTTAGTGACAACTGACTGATGAATCAAAATAAACACTGCTGATGATCAATTAATAATTTAAGTAAAGCTAGACTGATAAATCAACCACACTAATATAAGTTACAAGAAGATCTGTTACAGAAATTTATCTGTATCAAGATTGTTTCATCTATTTTATGCTTTTTTTTAAAAAAAAAAATATATATTGGCTGACTTATTCAATAAAAATATCGATACCAGTCTCTGCCTCAAAAATCCAGTATGCCACTGTAAATGCCAGATTTAGTTTGGTCAGCTACACTTTTCTCCATCAACTGTACCCAATCCCTCAAAAGTTACACTGGTATAATCCTACAATTCCAAATATCTGTTTCAGATGGCACTGCACAAAATTAACATTTTGATTTGTGTGACACACTCACTAAAATGATGCACACAAAATTCAATTTCTCTAAGGAAATGTTTAAATTTGAAACTCAATCAAAGCTCGGGGATATTTATCGGTATAGCTCCTGCTGTTTCCTGGAAGCATATTGCATTAAGCAGGGGTCGTATTCACAGACATTCTGAGAATATTCTCACAGAGTTCCTCACTTAGCCTAAAACCTTTAGTAAGGAGTCCCAGTTTAGCGTGATTTAGGAAAGTTCGCAGAGCAACTCTGAGGAAAGGAAGTGACAGAAACTTTTACCCCAGGAAGGAGGTGTGATCGACCCTGTTGGTAGGTATGATGCATTCTTTTAACAGATGTGATTAGTTGTCAGGTGGCCACCATTTTCCCCTCTGATTAAGAAACTCTTAAACCTCTTAAAATTCCTCCTCCCTGCTCCTAACAGTTTTTCACCTTCTGAGTTCTTTTAAGGTCTGAGATGCTCCGTGAATAACTTTTATCTTTACCAGGACCTAGTCTTAACTTTAAGGGGAAATTCTAAGAAAACGTCACAATGAATTTTCTTTGAAAGAATTTTGTCACTAGGAATGACTCTACGAGTAAGCTTTATGAATACGGCCCCTAGAAGTCAGATTCCCCCCTCTCTATATCAAAGTGGACATCAGAAATGATGATCTGTATACCTCTAGAGAAGATCATCTATGTCCTGAAAAACAGGTGCGATGCCTTTTCAAAGATCTGGCAGCCTTTCATTGAATATATAGAAACATTACCTTAATCAACTGTGGATTCACTGTAATCTCTGAACTGGCTCCATTGTAAGCTAATAGTAATGCTCAGGTACAATGGTTGAGATATTTCAGTGATAAGAAGAGTCACAAAATACGTTTTTTTTTTGTTGTTGGTTTTTGTTTTGTTTTTTTGTAATAGGTTCATTTTGTCACTATTTTATACACTGGTGTTTCCCAGTCTTTTTCCTGAAGGGACCCCTTTTCTATCAGAGTAAACTGACGACCCCTGACTAAGGGACATATTTCATGGATATATCATATTATATTCAATGCATAATAATTACAGTACAGCACAACGGATAATCTGTTCAATTAACCCAAATTATCTAAACTTCACAAATAACAATTTCATTTAGTTTTCCTCACAGAAATGAATGAAATCCTGAAATCTTTGCTGTATATATAGTTTCAAAGTTATCCAACACCCCTTGAAATCAAGAAGGCCCCGCGACCCTTTGTGAAACTTTGGCAACCCTCAACAGGGGTCGGGACCCACAGGTTGGGAACACTGAATTAATCAAAAGAAATCTGAGGATTAATTGACATAGGCTGCATTGGAGCTCTAATCCACTTATCTTAAATACCACTAAATAATTGGATGAGGTGCATCCTAATAAATATGAACAGAATCATCAAGAGATTATGTATTAATTTCACAGAAAGCATTGCTTTGATGTATAATTTTGTTGAACAGAGGAAACTGTAAATGAGATTTCTTTAACTCTCTGGAGGTCTCTGATGTGTTTAATGTGGGGAAACAGCTCCATCTAGTGGCTGGCGTTAAACCAGCTGTCTATAAAAGATCACTGCATCAGTTTCAGGCTGACTTAAACTTGAGTCTGGACCTGCGAGTCTGTCGGAGCTTGTTGGAGCAGAAAATCACTCAAAGTTCAGATATTTTCATGGTGCTGCACACAGACATGTTTCTGTGGAGGCCGTTGGTGTAACCCAGTGTTATTGTGGTAACTGACCTGGCTGACCAGCCCGGTTGATGCGGCGACATTCTCGACCCCTTCCACTGTTGCCTGTGACACTTCATTGGCCCCAGCAACCGCTGTGTCTCCAACAATGTTGGCCTGGTCCACAGTCCTGTTGGCCACTGAGACGGGGGGGGGGGGTTAATGAAGCTGAAACACACTCAAATTATGTACAATGACAAAACACACACACCACCTGTATACTGACCTATCAAGAGACCTGGATACAGCATTCTAGGCAGGGCCTGTTCGTTCCTACCAAAGTTGCTCAGTGACTCATGAAGCCATAAAGCTTTGACTTCCCAGGTATTAAATTACCCAGATATTTCACATCAACGGGCCAATAGAGCAAGCATATTGGCATCTTCACGCACAACAGGCTAACTTCAGCCGGCCAAGCGGCTTGCTTCCCCTTTATCCCTCTGCTGACTTGAGTGGGGATACAATGATTTCAACATGGGGCTCTTCTGGACTTTCCAAATGTTATTGGATCAAATGAATAACAAGAAAGAAGTCATTTTGTGGGGGTTGTGACATTCAAAGAAATTAATCCACTGATTTACAGATGGGGAAAAAGGGACATGGGAAAAAGTCTTTTTGGGCCCAATGGCATCAGGTGCCATGAACTGTAGTGACAGTTTGTCACGCTATGTCAAATTGGCGTCAAAGTCCAGCCCACTTTCTTGGGGTCATGCTCTTTGGTGCAGGTAAGGAAATCAACCAGATGTTCATTTGCCAAACCAACCGATTAGTCTTTGCCCATTAAGTCTTTTCTATTGAAAAAACAAAAACTACAGTTTGAAAACACTTGCAACAAAGCAAAATCTTTGCAAACTTTTTTTTCTCTCAGTTTTACAAGAGAAAGGCCATAAAGATTAAGACTAACTGGTCGACTAGTTTGGGAAATGTATGTTTGATTAATCACCCCACCTCCATTAAAGAGCAGGGCTGTGGATAACAAAGTCCCAAAATGAAGCTATGGAGATGATTTTAATTCACATTTTGGTATCGTCCTGGGCAAAGACAGCAAACACCTGTAAGATCACAGAAGAACATCTGCAGATACAAACCACTGCCAGATAATATTTGTATCCCCCCTAAGGTTTGTGCTAAGACGTCACAAATAGAATTAGTAAATGATAACTAATAAAAATTAAAAAAGGCTAGCAGGTAAACAGCTTCTCTTACCTGTGTTTACTGATGACACAACTCCCTCCTTTGTCTTACTGCCTGAGGATCAAAGAGAGAATACAATTACACCCATGAAAATAACTTACTCTCCAACCTCCTGAGACCCTGTGTCCTCATATGAGGACGTCACATTTTGGGTTAACCAGACCTTGTACTTCATTCTACTTAACTCAGACCTGTTGTCCTCGTTCGTGGACACTTCTTTGTGCCATCTGGTGGTAGTATGAGCACAATACATTATGTAAAAACAAGATGGCAGCCATCTCTGCCAAGTCAGTCTGCAGCTGATCACGACACAAAAGTGAACAAGGTCCAAAACTAGGGCATGACCAATAAGGATTTTTTGGGGCCGATGCTGATTCTGATATTAGGGAATAAAAAAATCTGATAACCGATACACTGGCCTATTAAATTTTTACATTTTTCAATTTAAACCCCCCGAAATACCTGCTTTTGATGGCTTAAATATAGTTCAAACACTTGTTACAAAGATATAAATTGAAGGAAGAACATTTTACTATTTTCAAATACTTTTATTATCAGAAATTGTGTGGAACAAGCAGCATATGAACAATTTGAACACAAGAAAATCAAAAATATGATGTGCAAAAAGGCAGTAAACCTCTGGGAAATAAAATAATCATACAAAGTCTATATGAATTAAGACGTTCACATGTATGTTCACAGTACCAGAGTTCTTATTATTGCCAATTTAACAGAGGTAGGTTAAAGTGCAAAAAGTAACACAAGGACATCATTTCTAAGTAAAACACCATATTCCCTGCATTTTATTAGTGATGAAAATATAAGTGTTAACATCGGCATCAATTGGCCAACTTTTGGCCTAATATTGACTATAATCGGCTGATTAAATCGGCCGGCCGATAAATCGGTTGGGCCCTATCCAAAACCTGATCACATTTAATGGTTGAAACTTATACATGATTGATAACTTTTGTAGTTTGATATGCCCTACGCTCATAGGTGCTATATCGTATATCCTACTCTTTGTGGGTGTGAAGCCTTACAGACTCGTTGAGGTCACGACGAGTCATGACCCACCTGACCGTCATGTGGGTCGTTAGGGTTAGGTGAGACCAGCTGTGAATGGATATGAAGTCGCCTGGGGAGGGATCCCAGGACTGCACTGTAGGTGGATAAGTGGTGTCATAGGCCACCTCCTCTGTTTAACTATGGTCGTTCTAGTTTGACGTAGATGAAGAAGCATGAAAGAAACCCTCTACGTCAAACTGGAATGACTGTAGTTAAACAGAGGAGGTGACCTACGACACCATTTATCACCTACCTACAATGCAGTCTTGGGATCCCTCCCCATTCACACCTGGTCCCATCTAACCCTAACGACCCACATGATGGCCAGGTGGGTCAACGACTCACATGTGACCCCAACAACTCTGTAAGGGTTCACACCCACACAGAGTTTAAAGCCTGCGACTCTGCACCAGTCCTTTAGAACTGAACAAACTTCTTGGATGAGAGGTGAAACGTCTTCAAATAACGCAAGAAAGTCCAGTTGCCTACGATAAAGCACTTATGATTACCATGACCTGGATGACTGAGAATCTTCACCAAAGATTTGCCCTACAAATTTTTGGCAATTTTAGCAACAGTAAAAAGCTAAGACATTGATAATTAGAGAGTACTTGTTTAAGGACACTGGGACTTTATTATCGTTGACAGTGTTTAGTTTTTTATACTTATCAGGTCCTACTGATTCCAAATAGCTAGGAGAAATTAATGGAAATGTTACAAATTTTACAATTCCTATGTTTGTTTGTCATGTTGCAGGTTTTCATTGTTTTAGTTACATTTTCTTTTGATTAATTCTATATTGTGTAATTGTTTATTTTTTGTTTCTTTATTTAGTGACGGGTGATTAAGATGTGAGCATTTAGATTAGTTTTACTCATCAATAAATCAAACAGTGACCCTTACTGTACACCTAACTGATGTTTTGATAAATGTATTAATTCATCTTGTAGTATTCAGAAGACAATTTGTTGAAACCATGATAATCATGGGACGTTGCTGATACAATTAAAATGTAAACATTCATCCCTTTACTTTCACTTTGAAAAACAAATTTTTGGATGTTCATTTTCATACATTTTAAATACCAACATGTACTAACATGAACTGTAACATGAACTGTAGTTCGAATATTCTTACTAACATTTATCCTCCCTTTTTGAACATTTATTAGCAGCTGTTTTCTCACAAGTACTCTGACATATCCCTGCTGAAGATGTCAGGTCAGCAGTCTTCATTGTTCTTTCTAAAATTTCATTTATAGGGCCAGTGTATAGTATTCAGGGGCATATATTGGCAGAAATGGAATATAAAGTAATAGTTTGGCATTTGGATTTCACATCAGTAACCATAGTTAGAGTCCCCTTCGCAACAAGACCATCGGAAATACAGATTTTTTATATGTTAAACTGCTTTATTTAATGTTTGTACCGGTTTAAGTCACCAGGTGTGTTTGTTTTGGAGAAGAGGAGACCTCTGTGGATAATTCAGCTCCCGGTAAAAACTTCCTCAACATTGAACACTGAAGGAATTCTAACCGGGAGAAGTTTCAGCTGGTTGCAATCTGCAATTTTTCACCACTAGATGCCACTAAACTCCCTAAATCTCTCACACAGTTTCTTCAAAGACTTGGTGTCCTTTCACTAATGCATTTCCCTGGATTCTAAAGGTGAGCGTGGTTGGATTATTCAATTTTCTGTTCTCTCTCCCTCTCACTCTCTGTCTCTTGATAAAGCTTAGCTGTGTTTTGTGAAAATACTGGAAAACATCTTGTGAACAGCGGCACCTCTCTGCATTTCCCTCTCTGCTCCCCAGCACTGTGCTCATTATAGTATGATCCCAAGCAGATTAAAATGTGGTTATATAATCTGCCAGAGTGAGGGATAGAAGGAGGGAAATATCTGCTCTAAGAGATGAAAGGGACGGGAGGAAGGTAGAAACTAAGGGAGAATAAATCTGCGGAATGACACGATTTCGTGCACACCGACTGTCCCCTCTTTTACACAGATGCTGCCATTTACGGTATCCTGCATCCACCCATCCTCTCTTTCACTCTCTCCCTCTGTCTCCTGCTTCCCTCCATCTCTCTGCACACTCCCTGTTCTACATGTGCCACGTGCCTGAGTACTGAGCAGTACTGCAGTACAGCCCAACACACACACACACACACACACACACACACACTGCAATGACACAGCTTCTTCTTCCCAGTCAACAGAGGGGAGCCACCATGGTGTCACCATGAATACCTGTATGTGAACCTGTGGTGATCTCTCTGTCACCATCATACAGAACACACAGTTATCTATGAAGATGAAGATTACATTTGGGCAGACGCAGTTCCAGCTGATGCACAGGACACCGCTCAGCATATAACCAGAAATAGAAAGACATTTATGAAATAATATCCAGATCGAGAGCTTGACTCAATACATAAGGACTGCACGGATTAGAGTGTGTGAATTATTTTTCCTGTTATGAAATTACGTGCAAATATATGGCTTTAGTTTTCCAGAGAGGGATTTGTGCTTTTGCTCAGACATGTCCCGGATTCAATGAGAGATCTTATCAATGATGACATTTGCACCAATGTAACACATAATATATGCACTGAGATGTTCACATTTGATACAATTACTACATATATATGTACAAAAGAAAGCTGTGTAAGAGAGGTAATGAGCTGAGGGCTCCATAAACCCATGATTAAAAAACAAGAACAACATAAATCATAATAAATAAGGGATGTAAAGGCAGTTACAAATCAGTGTTGAAATTATTTAATAGCCTGACTGCAGAAGCATAAATCCCTGTCTGGAAGACTGACCAAAGACAGTTTTTAATATCGTCGCAGAAAATCAGCATCCTGAATTTTTTTTCTTGTGTATTATTGATGAGACTTTTGGGAGTATTATTCATTCATTAAAAACATGGACGGTACAGTGCTTCCGTCCTAATCAACCAACCCTTAAACTGGACTTAAAGGGGGACACAGGGGACACGTCCCTCTCAATATTTACAGCATGTGCATTTGTCCCCCACAGTAAAAACATTAAATAGGCAGAGGACTTTCATTTGATGCAAGAAAGGCATAAATTGCTGCGTAAACATTTACTGGAGTGTCTGACACTCAGTATTTCCTGGGGGAGGACCTCCAACCTCCCCTGTTTCACATATGTGTTGAAACCGTGTTGAAACAAAATTTACGCCCTCGCATCCAGCTGTCCGACCGGCTTCGGCCTGTTTGTGAACGCAGGCGTGCAGACCTTGATACTGTGTACCCACACTCAAACGCTGACGTATGCACTCTGCTGCAGGCAGTTACAGTGGTTTATCGGCGCCATCGACCCTCCTCACTTCAGCGATCACATCCCCCCACTTCGTGATTTGCGTTACCATTTTCTTTTTCCTCCATTTACTTTGCTCTACATCTCTAAGTCACCCCATCTTCTCCTTTACCTGAGCTTGTCACCAACCTGCACTCTCTGCAACATCCAGGTTTCATTTTCCAGTGAGTGTCATCCCTCCACCCTCCGTCATCCCTCTTTCTGCCCCTCCATCTGTTCATACAGGAGCCACGGGACTAGAAGCTCAAAGCTCTTTCTGACATAACACCCCTCCCTTCTCTCCCCCTCTTTTCTCTCCCCCTGCATCCCTCCATCTTTCACGGCGGTGTTGGGGGAAGGGGGGGAGGAAGGTGGTTAGTCATCACAGAAGCACACACTGGCAGGCAAATCCTGCTGCTGCAACGCCACAAACGCGCACGCACACGTTCTTGCATCAACACCAGGATGGGGTGAGGGTGGAGGGTGAGTTGGGAGGGGGGAAGGGGGGTGGGGGGTGGCGGGGTGGTGAGAGCAAATTGCTGCAGTGCTCAAGTGATCCTTGCCCCATCTCACCTCCCTCCCCACTCTCTCAGCTTGGGACTCGTGCACGCATACCGTTGCATTTTTTTCCATCACTGTCATTAAGGTCTTTGAAGCTGCTGTGTGACGGTCAGTTCCGGGAGCCAAAGGGACGGACTGCGGACCACGACGAAGACTTTCATGCCGCTAACTCCTCACCCACCCTCCTACTTTTACAACGCCCCTCCCCTCTCGGGCGGCCTAAAAGCCTGGTACTCGAGGTAACCTTGAGATGTGACGCATTTGCTGCTTGAGCTCAAAGTGCAGGGAACCACAGCGTGACCATAAAGCTTCTGGATCATTCTCAGCATCTTTATTGTGAATGTGTACATTTATCTGCAGATGTACCTCAGGCAGCTTGTCAAATGTAGGTCAACTCTAGTCTGCAAATTTAAAAATGGCAGATAAACTGAGTCTCTGGGGACTTTATCGCTGCACGGAGTCCATCACCGGACGTCCAACTACACAATGTGAATAAAATAGGGCAGGAGATAAAAGCTTGAGGCAGCGCCATCGCAAGATCCTGCAGAATCACTCTTTCCTCTCCTCTTTCTCTTTTACCCCCACCCCCCAAAAAAAGACCAGTCCTCCACCAGCAACTGCCCAGCTCCCCATTTACAACTTTTTCCATCTCTTTCTCCATCTAAGTCCCCCTCCTCAGTCTGTCTATCCTTCTCTCTCTCTCTCTCAGACCCCCACCCTCTGCCCTGCACCAGTCCTGCAGCAGTATGTGCTCTCTCCATCCCCTCCTTTCTTCCTCCTCCTCCTCCTCCTCCTCCCTCTGTCCCTGTCGCTTCTCACAAGTGTCCCAGACATGGACACCCATGGGACCCCGCCTCAAACAGTGCAAAAACACATGATGCAACAAGACAAATCCAAATATGAGTGCGTCTCCCCCAAACTTACCCACTTTTTTTTTTTTTTTTTTTTTTTTAATAGAACTCGTGCAGCTCCACAGACAAGATGTGTTACGTACCTACATACATCACCCCTTCCTTGGTTTTGGCTGCTGCCTCCTCCATGCCGGCTTTGGTCTTCTCTGCGGCGGCCACCACCCCCTCCTTGGCCATGGAGAACCCCTTCATCAGTACATCCATCTTGGGCGATGAGACGGCTGGGCTCCCCTGCTCCAAACGGGCCTGGCTGGCTGGCTGGCTGGCTGGCTGGTGCTTACAGTGAGCGTGCAGAAGAGATGATGTGAGAGTGTGTGTGCCTTGTGTGAGTATGCGCGTGTGTGCTGGTGGCTCCTCCTCCCTTTTGGTGCTACAGCAGAGGGCTGAGAGAACTGCACAGCAGGGCTACAGCACGCAGACTGAGACACGGGGGGGAGGAAACAGCCGGTATGCACAGAATGGAGAGAGGAGGAGGAGGAGGAGGAGGAGGAGGAGGAGGAGGAGAGACGGCCGGTTGCTGCAGCATTTTCAAGTCATGCTGCAACCCCGGGCTTCAGCCACACCTCCACCCGTCATCCATCTTTCTCCTGATGACTCTCACTCAAGCTCAGTGCAGCCTCCAGCCTGCTGTTTGCATATTCTGATTGACAGTTTGCTCTGGACACACCTTTCTAGATGCTGAGCTTGTGAGCTCTGTTACATAACCAGCAGAGCATCAGCACTGGAAGCAGAGAGGATTTTTCCCCCCACATCATATGCCCTGTGAGATTCTGTCATGTAATCTGTAGTCACACAGCTCGTCCCAAAGATATGACTCGCTCTTCGTTTTTTCCTGAGTATTCCTCACGTTGAGCACCCAGATGTCTGTGCACTGTGTATCACCATTTCATTTAACTGAATTAAGAGAGAAAAAGAGAGCACCTGCAGCCATTGCTAATCCTGTGAGGAGGGAAAAATGCTTTGTCATCGCCACCTGAATGAGTCACAACTGCCTCCATGCTCCCCCTCCCCCTCCACCTCCTCGTCCCATTTCTCCCAGACATGCCAGCTCAGCAGAACCGCAATTCTGTGGACACTTCCACATGACAGCCGCTCCATTTTTGTTTTATTTTTGCAAAAATTTGTTTTAATCAAAGAGGAGAAAAGCAGAGCGAAATAATTGTGAACACAAACGAAAACAAGCTGCCGCCTCTCTATATTTTCTTTTTACATTCAGTCCATCAGACAGCCAATAAAACAACACCGAGGAGTAAAGTGATTTTTGGAAGAGTGCAGTTTGCAGAGAGGAGGACCTCTCATATTGCCAGTCTTGCTGTACAGAATCGCACTGCCCTCTGGTGGCCTCAACACATACCACATCATGACACAGCATTATGGTTTACTGATGGTTCTCTTCAGACACGTTAAGGACTATTCAAGCATTTAATAAACAACTATTAAGTCTCAAGTCAGTTTCAAATTAATTTATTAAGTATCAAGAAACTAAAATGTAAATGGTCAACTCCTGGTCGACTCCAATGCTGATTTTTTTTTTTTTTTTAATTAAAGATGCACTAATCAATATCCTGCCTCGTGTAATAATGGATCCACAAATGCGTAAGTATGACCTCATGTGTATTTGCTGTGGCGAAACTCTTTACATTTGTAAAACTTGTAGCATTTCTATGTGAAATTAAAGTACGTGTTTACAGAGTAAAGTGGGATTTATACTTCTGCTGCAGACCCTTCGCTGTAGCCTACACACATCACCTACGCCATTGTGAGCATTTATACTTGCTAGGTGCTGTAAAGTTTACTTGATTCAAAACACACATGAAAAGAAATGACCACTTTAGAATGAAAATACAGACAGTACTTACTAACCCTCATGCCGACAAGAGGTCCAGTGTAGTTTTTTAATCCACAAAACTCATTTGGGGTATCAGAGGATACAGCTAGCCGGAATAACAGCTACACTTGAAGTGCATGGAACCCACATTTTGACAATGTAATAAAACTTCACTAATGCATTTCAAAAATGTCAGAATGGCTCGTCTGTCGTAATCCAAGTGCCCTGAAGCTGCGGCATGCAAACTTGACTTGAAAAGACGTAATTTACTCCACTTTTATAGCATAATTTCTCACCGTGGTCAGTTAGCCTGCAACTCATGCTAGACTCGAGAACGTTTAGAGACGTTCTTGTTCTCGAGTCTCGCGAGTTGCAGGCTAACTGACCACGGTGAGAAATTATGCTATAAAAGTGGAGTAAATTACGTCTTCACTATAACTCGCAGCATTCACAGACAAACACTTGTCTTTATCTGGACACATTTTCCCCACAAATACAACATGCTAACGTTATTAGCACAAGCCTATGGCATTTTACATTGTATAAATTAGCCTAGCAGCTAGTGGAGATTTCCTCTTCTCATATGAAGCCAGGGACAACAGCAACATTTAACAAAAGTAATTTTACAAAATTCTGCTCCATTACAACTCACAAGGTTCACTGACAAAACAACTGTCTTATACTAAACACGTTCTCCAAACAAATACAACATGCTAATGTTATTAGCACAAGCCTATGGCATTTTACACTGTATAAATTAGCCTAGCAGCTAGAGATCTTTTCCTCTTCTCATATAAAACCAGAGACAACAGCAACATTTAACAAAGGTAACGTTACATAATTTCGCTCCATTACAGCTCACAAGGTTCACTGACAAAACAACTGTCTTATACTAAACACGTTTTCCAAACAAATAGGCCTACAACATGCTAACATCATTAGCACAAGCCTATGGCTTTTTACATTGTATAAATTAGTCTAGCAGCTAGCGGTGATTTCCTCTTCTCATATAAAACCAGGGACAACAGCAACATTTAACAAAGGTAATTTTACAAAATTCGGCTCCATTACAACTCACAAGGTTCACTGACAAAACAACTGTCTTATACTGAACACGTTTTCCAAACAAATACAACATGCTAACGTTATTAGCACAAGCCTATGGCATTTTACATTGTATAAATTAGCCTAGCGAGGAGTGGAGATTTCCTCTGCTCATATGAAGCCAGGATAAATCACACACAAGACTTAAAATGCTATTTTTGTGTAGGCTTTATTGTCTTCACAATTTATTGTTTCCTATGTGTGAAATTAAAGTAAATAAGAGTAGTAGTAGTGCAGTTCCATTTCTGGGGAGGTGCTACAGTGTGGATTCAACTCCAAAGTATAAATTCACCATGCTGTATTTTTGTGGATATGACTTCACACAACACAGATGTAAACTGACATGTTTGTGGATAGTGAGATATTTGAGGATCATGGTACACATTTGTAGATTGTGTTGTGTGGTTTGTTAAAGAAAATCATTTTAAGATCATTCATAAGACTTGTCACACAGCTGTGTCTCTATCTATCTGTGTCTATAATTTCACCTATGGTTAAATACCATATTCACTGTGGTAAGGAGAGAAATGCCAAGTCCTCCTTTAACTGGTTTATAAATGACTTTAAACTGTTTTTCTTGTCACTGGAAAAAATGATCTCTGGCAGGACAGCAAAAAATGTGTGAAGTCATATCCACAAAATGCGCATGACTTCCTCTGTAAACTCGGTCTTTAACCTCACACAGAGATGTCACAGGTTTCCCAGGTTACTCTTGCAGAAAAGAGTATTTTTTGTGGCTATGACGTCACACAACACCCATGTGAAAACATGTGAGATATTTGAGGATCATGGTTGTAGATTGTCTTGCGTCTTCCTCACCTGTCAGCTGGTCCACCTGTGACTCTGAGTTCTCCTCCATCTGCTCCTTCATTCTTACAGCAAACCAGTCCGCTCAGCCTTTCTGTCCCAGTACAACCAGTCCACTTCGTCTCTGTGTCCCACTGCGCACTCGCTGCAGTCACAGGTTACAGTCTCTCACACCTCACTGAAGTTCCACGTGTTCCTCAAGCAGAAGTACCTCAGATCCACCTTTGACGTTTCAGCATGTTAGCCACACCCACCATGCACCTGGAACACGTGGGTGCGTTTGATTTGAGTCACTGGCAGTGCTTGCTGGGTGGTGCATTAATTTACAGCTTCATTTTGTTTTAGAGTACATATATTCATATTATCTTTAGTCTATTGATGTATATATTGAAGTAATATTACAGCACAGTATATATTTTATATTTCTGAATGTAATCCAAGTTTATGCAGTGTAATGTAGCACAATCTTATTATATAATGACGAAAACTCTGTGTGTCTGTTCCACGTTTTTCTCCTCACTGACTTTGTCAATCCATGTGAAATGTGGCTCAGTGGTAGAGGGTCATGGGAGGATGTGAATGAAGTAATATTACATCAATTGGCCAAAGGGGGGCGCTATAGCAACAGATTGAAATTGCAAATTTTGAATGGGCATATCTCATGCCCCGTATGTCGTAGAGACATGAAACTTTGCACAGAGATGCCTCTCCTCATGAGGAACAAATTTGCCACAAGAACCCATACTTCCGGTTATATAGATTTTCCGCCATTTTGAATTTTTTGAAGAACACTTAAAATCGATCTCTTCCTAGGAAGTTTGACCGATCTGCATGAAACTTGGTGAACATAATCTAGGGACCAATATCTAAAGTTCCCTCTTGGCAAAAGTTGGAAAACTTACTAAAACTGAGCTTCTATAAGGCAATGAATATTGTGGATGGCGTGGCTCATCACATAAAGGTGTATAACATCTCAAGGGTTTCACCCATCACCACGCAACTTTGTAGGCATATGACCACACATAATCTGAGGGGACCCCTCCATTATTGACTCCATCAAAAAAAATGGGCGCCAGAGAGCTAATTTCTTATCTAGGCCTAACCGCCACATTGATTTTTACTAAACTTGGTAGATATGTAGAACAGGACGCCTCAAGGTGACTGGAGAAATTTAACTCTAATTGGCAACTGAGTGGCGCTATAACAACAGAAAAATGCTTAAAAATGGCTAAAATGCGACCGATCACTGTGGCTCCCCCTGTGGACCAATGTTTGTTTGTTTTTTTTTTCTAATTTTTCATTTGTCATGGTCAAGTCATGGTATGGTGTGCTGCTGCAACAAGGGCTAGCTGCACCTTTCCCATGTGAACTACCAGTGTGCCCCACTTTTAAGTCAATACAACATATAAACACTTGAACTATCTGCCTTTCAACGTGTTACCTCAACTACTAATGTACAGTTTTAGCCCACTAACTATCCCACTATTGGCAATGGTACTACTGTACTTTCAATAAATCAATCGTACTATCAATTTCACAAAACTCTGTCTGAATACATTGCTCTTCTTAATGGGTTCAGTTGACTATTTAATCTGCAATTTCCTATGACCTGTATCCCAAACACACACCATGTGAAACTACATGGGCAACTGTGCACTCAAGGGGTATGGACTAGTTGTTTATGAACAGCAACAAATCTCTCTCACAAGTAGTGTGTCCAGTTAATAAAGGTCTTTATTTCAAGTCATGTATTCATTCAACAAAAACAAACTCCATCCACTTTAAGGTGTTTTTTTGTTAAACCCTGAAGTACTAAGCTTCAGTTCAGGGGCGGAACCAGATGAGAAACATGCGGGGCTCTGCCCAAACCTAGGGGGGTCAGGGGCATACTTCCTTGGGGGGATTTATTTCCCATTTATAGCAGGTATATGCATCATTTTTTCAAGTAATTTTAGGTAATTTTAGGTAAAAACCTGTACATCTTTCGGCTTTAGCTTCTAAATGTCTTTGTCTGTTTAACCTGTTGTTGCTGCTGAGTCAGTTTGACATCCTGGATATATCCTTCAAACACAGACTGTAGACCCCTGTGTCTGCTTCTCTCTGGAATCACTGTTTCCGAAAATGCTCCATGCTTACTCCGACAGCTTGTTGGACCATCACAAAGGGGCGGAGCTTAGTGAAAAGTCATTTTGGCATGAACAGTGTTGCTAATCTTGAAACCTTATTTTGTGAAGGCCTTTGCACACCATGTCTGGTACTGAACCCCAAATTGTCCTTGGTGGCTGTTCCATCGGTGTGTGAGTGCGAGTGAATGGTTCCTGAGTACTCTGTATGGTAGCCTCGGCCACCAGTGCCAAGTGCAGTCCATTTTACCATCTTGCATTTGGCACCCCGGCTACCTGAAGGGGCTGAGCTGTCCTCCCTCTCTGTGAGCTTCATCCTCCATGACACCCTCCTCCTCGTCAAGATCATCCACCTGATTATTACTATCTGACCTGCTAAGGGTAGGCTGTCTGAGATAGGGAATACTACTGTGTGCCCTGTTCCTCTCTCTTGTTGCAGATGTATTTGTCCTGAAGGTGATGCCACTGTCAAAAGCTGTTAGATGCTCTTTCCTGCAAAGTCAAAACATCCCCTCTGCCATACCTACAGCGCTGAAACTGACAGGAAATGGGACTCACTGATTGAGGAATCAATCATGACACTACGCCATGCCCCCAGTTTTTGATTCTCAAAATAAACAGTGACACGTTCATGTCATTTGTGAGTTGACAACGGTTCACTCAGCCTTATGGTTTTAAGAAAACATTTATTCACATTGATATAAGTACATTTTTGAGTGCATTTTTTTTACATACTGTATTTGTGCATTTAGGTAAATCTCTATGTGTGTATTTGTCCTTATGTGCCTTCTCACAAGCATGCTTAGTGTTAAAATCCATAACTCATTGTTAATGCGGTTTATGTACTAAAAGAAATATCAGTTCTGCATTTTCACTATTTTTTTGTACAATTTCCCTTTCGTTTAGGAGAGACAGAGCCAAAACAAACAGGAAACAAAGAGAAAAACCCATCGACGTTATATAAAGCTGGACAACGCTTCTCCGTTTCCTCCCGTTGCACAAAAGTGAAGCCAGAATATCTCGGATATGGGTGCTGTGCATCCTGCGCTTGTAAAGTAATTTGGAGCCAGCGTCTGCGCAGTAACGATCTCTGCATTATCGAGTTCCTGCCATCTGAGCCAATCATGAGTAGTGCCATTGATCCTGAGCACACTGATTGGCACACACAGCTGTCAATCATGATGTGACCCCCCCCCCCCCCCCCCCCCCCCCCCCCCCATATTATAGCATTAAATAACTTATCAAAACCAAACTTAGCATTCAAATGAACACATTAACAAATATCAGCGCAATAAGAAGTACCGAAAAATGTATTTGACGTGTACTTTGATCTTTTAGTTTGGCTAATGTCCTATCTGCTAACACGGAGGGAGCAGGGTTATGATCCATACTGCAGCCAGCCACCAGGGGCAATCAAGATGTTTCGGCTTCACTTTTGGGGAGCTGTTACGGCGCGCCCATCTTTATATACAGCCTGTGGAAAAACCCAAATGCGAGATCAGGTCTTAGCAGCAGACGGATACATTTAACAGGTAATATTGAGCTTATGAACACGTAGCATTCTCACACTAACAGTTTGTATCTCACATTCTACTAATCTAAGCTACAACACTATCTCACATTCCTGAGGAGTTTCCTCCTCTTGCTGCTCTTTTTTTTTTTTTAATCCCTCCATAATTTATCCCCTTCTCCTGTCAACTCGTAGGCTTTTTGTCCATGTCTTCCTTCACATGTCCTCCTCCTCCCCATCTCTCATTATTTCCTGCTTTCCTTAATTCTGGACATTGAGGATCTGTGCAGACAGTCCATTGTGCCAGTTCTTCAGCTTGGCAAAGCGGGGCCCTTTCACCTCCGACTCAAACTTCTCTCTGGTGGTGTGGAAGATAAGTCGTCAGTAGTTCACCAGCAGGAAAGCAAATAAGCATATTTCTCAAAATGCAGGGCTGAAGTTATGCTGTTTGCAAAAGTGAGTCAACTGACATCCTCTTTTAATGAACTTTAATAAAAAAAAACAAAAAAATTTCATCATATTTGCTGAAGCTGTGACTATATCCTGTCAGTAATACATGAAACAGATAATCTGAAAAATCATATCCTTTTGGCGTCTCCTTGTGCTGCTAATGGTATTTGCAAGAATCCACAGAGTGTGAACGAAAACAAAAGCTTGGTCACATTCCCAAGTCGTCAAATATCAGCGCTTTGTCAGTGATTTAAGCGTCAGATACCAACGCACAAAGGCACCTTCTATGGCGGTATAATACGCATGGGGCGGCGTTAGTTGTTGACACAGCAGCCAACAAGGAAGGCGTCAATGTACAAAGGCACCTTTGGTGACATGATGAAATGTGCCAGCCGCTGTCAACTATCGTAGTATAAAGAGCGAGAGAGTCCGTGTAGGGAAGGCGGGAGGGGAGGTGGACGGGTCAAACGAACATCAGATCTTCACCCGGGAGCCCGCTGATCATTTTCAATGTGAAACCAAAAGCCAGTGGAATTATTTTAATAACAACGTAGTATGCAAATATGTGTAGCAGGCAATAGCATGAAATATGTCAATATGTGACGTTACCTTAAAAGTTGCCGGCAGTCGGCCCAGTAAATTATTTTTTCTCCGACTCCAGCTGCTGTGAGAGGCAGCAAAACATCCTTTCATTTTATAGTTACAGTTTACTAATAAAACTCTCCACAGTATGAACAGTGGTTACATGAGCCTCAAAACCAGCCACAACTCAGCCCTGAGCAGAGTGACCGTCCTCTATTGACCAATCAGACTGCAGAGTTCACAGCTCCACCTTTTAGTACCTGATCTGTGTGCTAGGTACCCCAACAGAGGGGGGACCAAACATGGGGACGGTACAGAACGGTTCCATTGGTACCATCCACAACTTTTCACAGTGGAAACAGAAAAACAGCGAACCGAACTGAACTGTACCGTACTGTACTAATCGGTGGAAACAGGGCTTTAGTGATTGCTTATGCTGCTAGAGCAACATACACTGTCATGTCTTTCCCAAGGAGAGGTAAATCGGTTTTCCTGAAAGCTTAACTGAACCGAACCATACTGCTCAGTGGAAACAGAAAAGAAGTGTATCGAACTGTACCGTACTGCTTGGTGGAAACGGGTCTTTTGTAGATTGGTATCAGCTGCCATTTGGAGCACCACGAATGGGCCAGAGGAATATGATTTTTTTTTCCACGCATGATCTGTGTTGTGTACTGACAGCTTCAGCAAATATGACAAAAAGTTTTTTTTTATAAAAAGTGACCCACTGTAGCTTTAAAGTGCTCTCACTTTTTTTCCACGTCTTACCTTGACCTCTGCAGGGCTTCCTCGTCTGGGTCTTGCACTGCATGGAGAGAAATAAATAAAATTTGGTGAGTATGGAAAAAAACTAGAGTATCCAAAATATCAAGAGAGAAGGTAGGAAAGGAAGAAAAGCAGGAGTCAGTGTACTGACGGTATTCAGTTCCAGTGATGTGGGCCAGCATCCTGAAGCTCCTGGACTGCAGGTTGGCAGCACGACGAGCCCAATCAGACATATCCTGGTTTGACTCTCCTGGCCTGATCACTGCCTGGTAAACCGGAGACGCACAGTCTACCACAGGGTCCTTGACAGGCAGAGCTCCACTGCAGGGAAGAGAGGACTGTTTGAGTCTATGGTATGTACTCTATTTAAAGCCCCCACATGTATTAGATGATCGTAATGTACTAAATGCCCATGATGTATGTACAGTAGGGCTGAGACGATACGCTTAATTCCTGATCCGATACTAGCAGAACACCAGGGTGCCCATTCGCCTTGTGTTGCAAATTTTAAGTACTGCATTTTGATATTACAATGTTGTGATTTTTGTTCACTTTTTTTAACGCCAGACCATGGGAAAAAGTTGAATCATACACTTCTAGAAACTTCATATCATGAGGCAGTTTCCAAAAACACTACACATCTAATGTTTATTTCAGCAGCATCATATTCTGCATAGAAAAGCAAATGAACTAATGTTTTATGTTTAACAATTTTATTCCAGTAATGTCTGAAACGTGAGCAGAATGAATTTGTGTTTAAACTGTTAGCAGAAGAAAATTTAGGTGTATTCGGCATTCATCAATATGTTAGTAGCTCTGATCTTTTCGTAGGTACTAAAAAGATCTACACCTGCTTCTGTATGCTCGTAGTGTTTGCACAGAAATATTATTATATATTTTATTATTATAAATGACAATTTAAATTTGTTTTGTGCTCTGTTATGTTTACAATACGAAGATACCTTTAAAAACATGTAAGTTAAACATGACAAAAGATTAGAAATAAAACACATTTAGATGAATTACCTTGACTCGCGCTCCTCCTCTGCCCTCTTTACGCACTGCAGCCCCAAACTGATTGTTTTTGTATAGTGGTCACTGCAGTGGACAGCTATGTAAAAGCCATTTTCTTGTATATGCATGGGTTTTGATGCTTTAGTGGCATTTAAGTCACTTAAGTGGACCCTAGTGTGTCATGCCATACACTGCCACCCACTGGCCAGGTGTTGTCAATGCAGCACAAATCTTTCAAAACCAAGATGGCCGACAGAATGCAAGAAATGTTGTGTAGCTCAAGAATGTCTTGCTAGTCCTTCTGTAACAGGAGACCCTGGCAGGTAAAATAAATCTGGTAACATCAAGTAACATCTAAGGAGTGAATATTGATTTAATGTTGTGAGGAAATTACAATTAATCATCTGGCATCACTGGCTGTATTTCAACTACAGTTACTAATGTCACTGCAGCTTTGTTGTTCTTGATAATCTGCAGTGACTTTTTTGGCTGTAAATCAGTTGATTTGAGTTATTAGAATGTAATGTATATGTAACAAACAATATTTTTGTTTAGAGTTGAATGAGGGGAGAAGCTGAGGAGTCAGGAGCACCTGAGTGACTGCGTTTGCATGGCATTAATGTGAACGCACTACAGCCTAAACATAGACTCTTTTTTGATTGGTTTGTATTTTTTTAGTTAGATTTTTTAGTTGTTTAACATTTCCATCCGAGTGGACATGTGAAAAACTCCCTGAAAAAGACATGTTAAGAATGAACTTCATAATTTGTTTTTCTTGCCTAAAGAGGAATAAAAACACTTGACTGAAGTCGTAATAATTCCCAAAGGCTATGACATGTGGTGTCCCACAAGGGAGTGTTTTGGGTCCACTGTTGTTTTTAGCATACATTAATGATCTGAACTCGGCATGTGCATGTGATTTATTTTTATATGCGGACGATGCTGCATTGCTGGTATCTCTGCTGGCTTTCTCGTTTTGGCTTTGTTTTGCTGGAAGCAGATGTGATGTCACTCATAGATTACCTCAATAAAAGTGCCAAATTATTTCTATCTCCACAGTTGAATTAGACTATGTCAACTCAGGCATTAGAAATCAAATAAAACAAATAAATTAATAAAAAATGCAATATCTAAGTGAGTTAATTTTCTCCCTGCCTTTTTCCTAATGGAACATAATTTTATTGAATCAGATTCAATTTCATTATGGGCAGTTATTACATTAAGACCAACAGTTGCATTGTTGTTGCTTTACACACACACACAGTCTGTTCATTGTTTATATAAATACTACCACTGCACTGTCTTTGTGCTGTCCTGTTGTTCCAGGCTGAAGGTAGGCCTACCTGTACCGTAGTGTAGATACTGGAGTGAGTTTACACAGCAACATGACTGGATAGAGGTTTTTAATAAGTGTTAGAAAAGTGACTGATCGAGCAGTAGTCGTTTGAAAACCTGCAATTGGATACTCAGAACATTCCCATGCCGTGAAATCGCATCAGGTTCCCAAGGCTGTGACGATATTGGCTATTTTTTAGAGGACTCAAACAGAAAAAAAACCCCTCAACACAACTCACACTGTCACACTTTGACCAAAGTACCTCTAGGTACTTCCAGATACATAAGACAACCCCTGGGTTAGTGAGTTTGACCATTATACAGTATGGTTAAACACATAAAAACACTTTAAAATGGACAAATACAGGATGTAGAATTTGCAAACATTTTTATCATTATATTAATTATAATCATATTAATATTTAAATATCTCAGGATAATATTAGTATATGAGACACACAGAGCAACGCACAAGCTGCTATAAAATCAGACAAAGGAGACGCGTATGAGGAGTGGCGGGAGAGGAAAGGAGTGCTGCTGTACTTACGCCAAGGGGGAGCCCGCCTCCTCACTGAGGTCACAACCAGGAAGGCAGGATGGGCATGGATGGGTGGATGACAGCACAGGTGTGGTTGTTTTTTGTTTGTTTGTTTGTTTTTTTGGGTTGTGGATGGAATGAGCAGAGGAAAGTGGGTGAAAAGCACGGAGGAGTACATGGCACAGACACAGACAACATGGAAAAGCCCTGTAGCAGCAGGCTTAAATGTTCAAAAGCTGATTTATGCTTTGTAGAAAATGATCTTTTGAGAGTTGATTTGACCAAATGAATAAAAACAAGATATTTTCTCACTTTTCACTGCTACAGATATCCACCTTGTCTTTTATTTTTGTAGAACATTTACACTGGAAACTACATGCACGACTTAGTTGGTTCCTGCATGGAGTGTAAAGAGATTGACGCTGTTTTTGGAAAACACAAGTTGCTGAATTCCTTGACGTTTTTCCAAACAACTTTTAATGTCGGGGCTTCAGGACACTTGGATCACTACGGACGAGCAGTATGGAGATTTTTTGTGGTTTCAGTTATGTGTTTTTGGACGTTTGAATCTGGGGCGCCATAATCCTCCATTAGGTGGAGTTGCGTTGCTACCCCCCTCTCCCTGCAAGTGTTGTGAGGACTCTAAAACTTCACCTGAGCCTCCATCGGCATGAGGGTGACCAGATAATGGGTGAATTTTCATTTTTGGGTGCACTATCCCTTTAATACAGTGAGTAGCACAAGCACAATTCCTTTCACCGCCATTATATTTTTGGTGGAGTAGAAATCTTCAAGATGGATGTATCAATATATTTGCAATAAAACCTGAACTATCTACATAGCTGGATACCACCAGTGTTAAGTGAGAAAAGTATGGTTGTTTTTTGTAATTTGAGTGAACTGATCCTTTAATTTCTAATCATGTGGGCTGGTTTGATCAGTTTGATATAAAGTGTGAGCGGAGAGAGTGCCAGTTTGGTTGTGTGACCTCACCTGTCGTGTCCCTTGGCCTGCGACTGCCCTGCGATGGCGTCCATGATGGCGTCCTGTGAGTACATGCTGATTGGTGTGTTGTACTGGGCGTGAACAATGGTGGCCTTTCCTCCCGGACCCCTCACTTCAATGGGCTTGTGGGTGGACAGGGCCGAGTCTTTCAGAGCAATAGGGTTGAAGCTGGGGGTGTACTCCACACTGTCAGAGTCGGGTGGGGTCAGAGGTCAGTGACGAGGAGGTGGGGAGGTTTCAGGTGTGAGGTCAACAGATGGGGGAGGAGAGAGGAATTTGAGAGGAAACAAACAACAGTGAAAACACCAAACCGTGTCAGCATGTAGTACCGCAGCTGACAGAGAGGTGGAGCTATTGTACCACTCTATCTTAGCTTGTAGAGGGCTGCAATGTCTGAACACAACTACATTCTTGATTAGGTGATGGACACTGTTGTCTCAGAGTGCAATGCATAAAGAGAACGGATGAGTTACAGCAGAAAATTAACATTCTTCATAAAATGTATTACGACTGGTGAAACAGAAACACTTTGCTCTCTCCTTTTTAAAGTCACTATGCGCTTCTGACTTTGCACACCCTGATGGTAGAAAGGATCCTAATGACTCATGTATACTCAACAGCAGTAGTCCAAAGAAGTTCAAAGCATGCTAACACATTGCAACACCCATCAGGCAAAACTGTCAGGACCACAGGGCTGATTATCTGCACAATTCAAAAGACACACAGTGAAATACACACACTACACTACTGTCAAACATGGATGTATGAAGGACAAACAAATCACCAATTCATGCATTTATACACAGTAATACACAGCAAATTCATTTATATTCACAAAATTAATATGAGAGCTGAAGAGGACCAGCAGAGGTGGAGAACACAGGTTGATATCATAGCAGCGTATGAGTTCAATTTTACACTCTTTACTTAAAGGGACAGTTCACCCTCAAATCAAAAATACATACTCTTCCTCTTACCTGTAGTGCTATTTATCAGGCTTGATTGTTTTGTGCTGAGTTGCTGAGTGTTGGAGATATCGGCCGTAGAGATGTCTGCCTTCTTTTGAATATAATGGAAGTAGATGGCACTCGGCTTGTGGTGCTCAAAGCGCCAAAAAACTACAAATGAAAAACCCAACAGCAATGTCTCTTTCCAGAAATCATGAACCAGTTACTCAAGATAATCCACAGACCTTGTTGTGAGCAGTTTCATGTAGGAACTACTTTCTTGCTACCAAACTACACCCGCCAGCGTGCAGAAGAAAGCGTAATCATGGACGAGAGGCCCGTGCTGGTGACAGCGTCCTCATCGGCTGAGCTGTAACGTTGGCTAGCTCATTGGTGGATGCACACTTCCCTCTGCGCAATGATACTGTGTGCAAGAAAACAGTTCCTACCTGAAACTGCTCACAACAAGGTCTGTGGATAATCTTTAGTAACCGGGTCAGGATTTTTGAGAAGAGACATATGAGTTAAATGTATTTTTTTGGCGCTCTGAGCACCACAACCAGAGTGCCATCTAGTTCCATTATATTGGAGAAAGGGCAGACATCTCTTTGGCCTATATCTCCAACTGGGGCTGACCCATTGCTTTGAAACTTCGATCCGCACTACGGTAATTGACGCCTAATCAGTATCTTAATGTGTCAAATTTTGTTCTGTTTTTTCACTACCAAATTTGTGGAGGAAAGTGAAGGGAGGTGGCAAGTGTCTTACACATACAAGGCCAGTGTTCTCGGCGTATTGGTCCCTGGCTTTAAGCGTCAAATTGACCAATGGCTAAGTCCCGCCCTCAAATGCGATGAACCAATCACAGTGCGTCTAGCCATTCCCATACACTCGGACATTCTCTGCCTGGACGTTCATTGAAATGCATTACAGGAAGTCAGTTTTGTTTGGTTTTATGAACTTTTTCGGAGATTTGAAGTTTAAAAATGGTCAAACGGTGTGCATGGGGTACATGCAACTCTGACACAAGGTATCCTGAGAGGCTGGGCGATGAGGTGTATTTTTTACACTTTAAACCACATCTCAACCGAGAAAAGTGTCTCCTTTTTTAAGTTGTGCGGTAACGTTAGACCACAACATCAACTCAACGTGAATAAGATTAACAATGATGTCTACATTTCTTTTAAGGTAAGTCAACATTGTGTTTGAGGCAACACATTGTGACTTTGCTGGAAAGAAATATAAAGTTATCTTTAACATCTCTAGCTAACGTTAGCTAAAGTTAGCCTAACGTTAGCTCCTAGCTGCGTTGTTCATCGTGTCACCTTGTTTGCTGGGAGTTCATTAGCCTATTTTTTTCTAGTTTTGTACTTTGGTGATCGTACATCATTGTTAGCTGTTGTCCAAAGGGCTCTAGTTAAGCTAACGTTAACTTCTGGAGCTTAGCTTCATTAATTTATGTAATTATCGCAGAGATAACAAAGGTTGGCAAACGTTATGCTGAATGATTCAATGTAAATACTGTAGCACCAAACTAACGGAGAGACACTCTTGGTAAAGATATTCTGAGCCAAAAACCTTAACTTCAGTGGCACTTTAACTTGTTGTCTTTGACGGCAATGAGATGCGGTTCACAAGCGTACACTGTGACCTGTAAATTTTGGCTTGTAATTTAAGCTTTTCATCGACCTTCTCAACAATAAAATGATGAATATATCCCTCCAATGCGTAGTTTAGGCCCTTTTGGTTACTTCTCAATGACATCTGATCGTTATGTCCCCAAAAGTCATCAATTGCCTCCTGTGAAATGTCGTGTACTGTGACACCTGCCATAGCGCCGGTCACTGAATGTTGATAGTTTGTGGAGTGAGTGGAGGGGGGCGTGGCTTAGCCATAGGTCCATTGGCAGTTCTGCGTTCTGCGGACCCCTTCAGGTCCTGTCGCGTCCCTTCGCGGTCCATCAAAGCTTAGAAAATTTGCCAGTAATTATCACTTACGCTTTGAAGCCCCTTAAATGGTTTTCGGGACAGCCCCTCTCACCAACACTTAGCACACCAAAATAATCTGATAAATAACATTACAAGTGCGAGGAAGAGTATGTGTTTGTGATCTTTGAATGAACTGTTCCTTTGAAAATAACGTTAATAATTTCAAATAAAAATAAAATATAATCTTTGTTAGGTTAGCAAAGTATCATTTTATGAAGGCAGGAAGAAGAAGGAAAAATAGAAAGTCATACAATGTACTCAAGTAGCAGTACCTTCAAACTGTGCTGAAGTACTGTATACTTTTTTTTTTACTTTCCACTTCTGTGAACCAGGTGCTGTTAATAACATGTTACCTGAAGAAACAAATGATCGACACACTGAGTATGATGTTACTGTTACATCTGGGCCTTCACATACATGAATGTATGTTTGACACAACTTCATTCCACGCCAAAATCACCAGTGACAGATCTGTTAAAACTCATTCTCTACTGGCACTTCATGCACATTAAATATGGAGAAATGTGATGGTACTGACTTTGCAGCTGTGTTTGCGATAACCTGAAACACACCAGAGAGGGACAGACAGACAGAGAGAAGCATGTAATGAAGGAAACCACCAGAGGTTATTTTAGTGACAACAATGGCACTTTGTGTGTTTGTAGGAAACTATCCAACGACAGCACTATGCTGTAATCCCATGAACAGGTCAGAATAGCAGCCATTTGTCATCACTGGGATATTTCCCAGCTTCCCCTGCATCACCAGGAGTGACTGACAAGAGCAGAGGCGCCCTAATCACATGACACAGACGCACATTTAGCACAGGACAGCCACAAATACACACAACGACACAAACACAACACATTCCACCTGATCCACTTGTGTCAGGACTGCAGCCGTTACATATAGACGAATCCGAGTAGACGAGCTGCCATTACTGCGGTGGCACCTCAGTTGTAAGCTTGTGTATAACACTGTAATGCATGTAAAGGATTTTACTTTTTAAATAGCTTTTGCCAAGAAGTCTGTCCAGCAGATCGTGTAGAACCGGTTATATGATATCGATTTTAATTCAGTTTAAACTGATGAGAAATCTTTTCTGGGCTGTGCTGTTACACAATCCTCTTGCCTGGGTCCAGACCTCTGAATCCAACTGCTCCACTGAGTTCGAACTGATTCGTCTGGCATCGTGACATGAAATGGTAGTCTCTCCATTTGCATAGAAAATGTTCCAAGCGCAGAAAGGGCGGGGTTAACGCTGCTGTCAAGTTTTGTCAAGCGGTGCGCCAGAACCAATCAGAAGTAATTACAATGGTGACGGCTATAGACAAAATAGATTGACTTTGACTCTCTTAAAACCCTAACAACACTATGATGTTGGTATGGCTATGCATCAGCGTGAAACTAACATCAAGTTAGATTCAGGCAGATATGTTGGTGTCTAGTGAGTGGTTAGGGAAAATCAAATTCCCTCCGCCACGCAAATCAGATGGATGCAGTGTCCGACTGAAGATGGAAACAGAGTGTAACAAGTTGACAGGTCAGTCAGGAACACTTTAGTCAAAGAAAACTTTGTTTCCATTTGCAGTATTATATTTGGCACTATGGCTCTGTTCTGGGGCCTCTCTGGTGCCTTTCCTAGGCCTACGCAGAAAGCCTCTTCCATGGAAAGCCTGAGGCAGCGAGAGCAAACCTCCCTGCCCTTCCATGTGCCTACATGGAAAGCCTGAGGCAGAGAAAGCAAACCTCCCTGCCCTTCCATGCGCCTACATGGAAAGCCTAAGGCAGTGAGAGCAGCAGCAAAGACCCCCCGGGAACAAAACAGAGCAGCATCAATGACAAACAGAAATCACATTGATAAGTCAGACACAGCTTTAAAAGGAGGAGCTGGGGTGGAGGCGGGTTGCAAAGCAGCTTGCAGAGAAAGCAGCAACAGTAGGCAGGCCAAAGTAGTTTAAATAGGGTGCCCTGAATGAGATTCACCAATTGGTTGCATAGAAAGGAATCATGTGATCTATCAGCTACATCGACGGTGCGATATAGCCCCAGGGATTATATTGCAGCCTGTTGCGCGGCTGCCGGCTGCAGGGCTCTCACTCAATACTAGATCAAATTCAAAAATCGATTTCCCCTTCAGTCACCTAAGTCGTTTTCATATCAGGTATGACTGATTTGTACCATGTCTGAGTATGATTGCCCCCCCACCTCCACTCCTCTGCTGCTCAGCTTTCACATTTAATGCTGTTCCGTAGCTAAGTACACTTTCATCATCATCTACCTGACATTTTTGCTACAGTGTAGAAAAGGGCGCCGCAGATGTACACTGCTGCTTCAGGGACTATCATCTGCTTCTGGCCAGAGGGGGAGCTCTCTACCACCCACTGAAGCTCTGACAGCAGGGTGGAGATTGCAGCGAAGCCTGATCTAAGTCTGTCCACAGTGGGCTGCGCTGCCATCTGATATAGAGACTCTTGCATAACCAGTTAAAAATGTCTTGTAGTCACATTAAATAGCAGTCCAGCTTTGTGTTATCGAACAGTTGCTGTTCATACTTGATGTGCACTGTACCAGAGTACATATGAACTTTACACAAGACCACCTTTTCAAGTGGACTTGGGCAAGCATACTTCCTTGTACACTGGTACATTGGTTCAAACACACTAATCAAACAAAGTGGACTTTGAGGTCAAGTGTACTCAGATCTGGGCCCAGGTCTCTGATGTGAAACCCCCATTAGAGACAAAAGAATGAGAAAATAGGTTGAAAAATACCAGTTTCCTATTAAATAATGCATTTCTTCCGATGACAACACAAGAAATTAAGGAGTCATGGTTTAAACCATAAGTTAGCAAGTAATTCCTGTCTGATTTAAATAGCTAATCGAACACACAGCACTTTCACATCAGTGGAGGTACGGTAATGTCATTTCATTCACTCTGGGCTTCATTCTCAAAGGCTGTGTCATAACCAGTTTCAAACTAGCGCTTTAACACCAACTATGTATTAAACTTCCTTCATCTGTCAGAGGGGACGAATGCCGACCGTGATTAACCATAAAATATCTGGGCTTTAACTGTCACTGTCACTGTAAATGTGCTCAGTTCTGCTCTCTTGTGCATAAATCAGCTGGTGTATTCGTCCATACAGTACATGGATGTGTTTAGGGTACAGTAGGTAAAGCGGAACGTGCTCAGCAGCACCTCACACGTGGGTCATCTCAACCGCAGAGAGAGGGAGTTATCTCAGGTTTGGCAGGGGGGCATCCAGGGGATTCAGGATGATGGAGTGTAACCGGAGCGGAACATTCCCTGACCAACAGCTGCTCTCCTGTGTAGGGGTGTGTGTGTGTGTGTGTGTGTGTGTGTGTGCACGTGGAATCAGGAGTCTCTATGGGCCCGGTGAGGTGGGGTCACTGGCATGATACTGCCGTCATCATCCCTGCATTCTGCCTGGAGCACGTTCCCTGACACCTGACTTACCGTTGGCCTTTTACTGTAAAGCAGCTCAGCTCCAGAGGGGAAACACATTAGTGAGGACTGATATCTGGATATGTCAGAGGCAATGCAGATCGCGTCCTTAATTAAGATCAAGTATTTCATGACTGACGCTTCACCCAAACTCATGTCATCCCACTGAGGAGAGTTCCGTCAACGGTGGCCTCAACTTAACTCCCACCACACTTTCTTCAGTGCAACACACAGTATAGTCAGGATACAGGCATTGCTGATTTTGCCTAACAGTCCTGGCAGAGATTACATAAACCAGCATGACACAAGCCTTAAATACCCAATAGTGGTAATGTGTGCTCCAAGTAACACCTGTTTTGACATGGTTGTTCTGTGTAAATATAAAAAGGTACAAATGACAAAACAGGATATTAAAGCTTTGATATTCTGTGTGATTGTTATGTCAGTAAATCCCCCAACTAACAAATATCGCCTGCGTAACAAAAGCCTGATATATCTTATGCCTTGGGGTCGCCAAGGGGTGGTCGTGGGGGGTGGCACCCAGATACAATCACCAGCCCCCTCACTGTTCCGTCAGCACGATAAACATAGGCACTAAAGTCTATTTTGATTTGACCCCACAAACACCGTCCTGGCCCTGTAAATACCCTGAAGCACCAATTGTGTATTAATCTGCGGCTGAAAATAGTCCCCCAAAAAATGCATTGTTTATTTCTGTTTGAGTGACGTTTGCTAAAAGCTACAGTGCCCAGCTGTTTAAGGAAATAGCGACCATGTTTACACGCACGCTAATATTCCAACATTATTCTGTATATGACAATATTCTGAATTTGATCCGGGTCGTGTAAACAGCATATTCCATTTGGATATTCTGTATTAGGCCTTTTTCTGAGTGCAGAATTTTCCTATTAAGACATGTGGGATATGGTGATATTATTCAGGTTTTAATAGCATTCTTTAGACATGTATAGAGTGCATACAGAATATGTCAGTTCGGTTTTTTACTGCGGTGTCTTGTCTGTTTATGGTTGGCTCTGAGCGTTGTCATAGATACAACATAGACAAACCAGAGGTAGAGATGCACGCCCCAAATAGAAGTCAACATTTCTGGTCAGACAATGAAACACACAGACTTATAAACATTATGAAAGATGTGGAATCAACATGTTTCTAAATGTGAAAAAATCACAACACTGATCTTTTTAAGAGGGCGGATGAAGGAATGAAAAATGGAAGTTGTGGGTGCACGGCCAAACAAGTCTGCCGTGCTTTACCTTACACACGAAAGACCAGCAGCTCTTGTGTTCTTGCGAGTTAGAATGACTGTTTTTGTCAATGGAGTCTGGTGGCTTTCAGATAACGGCTTCAGTTCCCCGTCAAAAAGCAGCGAAAGTCTTCGTAACATTGCGCACACCTAAACTGATATCGATTTTTTTCAGGTGGCTAAAAACTAACATGATGCATTGGGTTTTCTACCCAGAAATTATCGTAAACAAACTTTGTGATTCGGTCTTTTAGTTGCAGCTTGCGAATATTTAAATAAATAAATGACAACAAAGAAAAACAAAGGCTCTAGTGGCTGAGGGCAGACTGTAGCAACAAACTGTCACCTTCCTGTAACCCCGTTACTTATTTAACAAAAAGCCTAACCAGCAACTGGTTTTCCAGGCAAAACCGGATTTAAAACTCAGCGTCGGAGGACAGAGGGAGACGCATTCGCTCGAAGATAAAAAGCCTCAGAAAGGGATATCAGGGAGCTGAAACAGCAAAAGGAGTTCTTTAAAAAGATTTTTTGCAACATCATCTCCCTGGTTCCATGCCTGTAGTTTGATCTCCTGCTATTTTGTTACCTGGAGGCCGGCCAGGTATGTTTGTGTGTACGCTCCCGAAATAGTGCCACGTGTGAGGGGAATGACTGCTGGGGTGGAGATGGAAATGTTGAGTGTATTTTCTTATCACAGTCCCGGTAATATGAGGTTAAATGGGGACGGTGTGGTGTGTGTTTGCTTCATTCCTCAAGAGTGAAGGGCAGCACTTTTGTTAAGTTTTGTTACATCAACTATGGTTTTTGGCTTATCCCCAAAGGTGTTAAATCCTCTTCTCTTCGTATAACATAACTGGAGGTTATTTGTCACTGTGGTAACCTACCCCCGTGATGAAACTCCCTGGGTAGCTGCCGACTCCTCTCCTAACTTGCCCTGCATCATCATCATCATCATCATCTCCAAGTTTCGGGAGAGTTAAGGCCAGTTGGGGAATTGTACTGCCCCTGCTGGCTTGGTGGAAATATGGCAGATGGTGTGGAGGAGGCAGGAGCTCTGATCAAGGTCGAGAGGAGCTCTGGATTTGTTTTTAAAAACTTGGAAGAGATTCCTTTTTATTCTGGAAAATGTCAGATGCCAGATTTCACTTTTTCTAACTCTTTAAAAAGATGGGAAAAGATCAAAATAGATGGACAGAAAAGAAAGCTACAATGTGAGATGAGAGTAAGGTATCAGCTTGTTTTATCTTCATTTCCTTTTCATGCAATTGTGGGTTTGTGGAGTTTGCTGACCTCTGACCTCAACACAGGCTCCCTGTAGTCACACTGTGAATATCTGACACTAGGGGGCTGCAGGACACCGACTCATGGCAACATTAAAGTATTGTGAAGATTATTCTCACAAACAGGACAGGAATGCAAAACACGTATAACAGACAAACTTTTGCAGATACACAGCAGGTGTTTGTGTTGATGGGTGCATTAGTATCGTGGGGGTGTTTGTACCTTCTGGTGGGGGATGACTGGCATGGGTGAGTCCATTCTTGCAGCTGTTGTGGGAAATGCTGTAGTACGTCTTGATCTGAAAGTTAAACAATGAAACATCTCATTAAAATACACCGCTATGTCTTTCTTTGTATTTCTTTGTATATGTATTTCTTTCCACTCTGTTATTAGCAATTTTAAAGATATTTCACAAAAAAACCCCAGCCATTAACAAATCATGAGAACCAAGTGGGGTGTGTGTCTGTAGGTACATTTATATGATTGTTTTTAATGCACAGCCCCTACTACTTTAAACACGAAGGAACAGTTTTGTATTATAACAATAGCTGAATGACGCGGCCTTTTGCGGTCAACGGCAGCCATGTCCTTTGAAGACCGCATCAGCCAAACCAAATGGTATCTGAAATGGGAGGCTGTGGTCTGTGGAGGATTTCCTGGTTGCATCACCAGTTTTTCTCACCCCAAACCAGTGGTGTTATTGTCACCTAGCAACCAACTGCGCTTGACGAAAGAAGGAGTAAGTTAGTAAGTTAGTTAGCCCTAAATCATGGACGCAGAGATTGTTATTATATATATACTTTTAATTTAATACTTGAGATGATTCACCGCCGTTTGATATATTTCAGGCTGATGGAAAGTTTTCAGGTAAACTTATTAAATTAAGATTGTTTAAGCTGTGTGCTTTTAGCTAATAGTAATGCTAACAACAATTAACCGTTAGCTAGTTAACTTAGCTTAATATATAATCGTCACCAGCGTGCAATGCATCTTGGGATAGGCTGGGCCACGAAGGATTCATCCGTTGCATCCTCCAAATTCTGGGACAGAAGGCTGCTTTTCTCAGCTGTATTCGAAGGACCCTTCGAAATGGGACGGCCTTGGTCGCGCCAGTGTCTTCAGATGCAGCCTTCGAAGGCTGCAGCCCCTGAATTGAGACACAGCTAATGTGAATAGTACCTGGAGCATATTCAGTCTCAAAACGGTGTTAGTTTTGTTATGGTTTTCAGGCTGGACAACTTGTTTTTTTGAAACTGTGCGCAACAGGCTTTGAGCTACGTTTTTCTCTCATTTGGTGGGAGTGTCAGAGGTGTTACCCAATCAGCAGTAACGTGTATATAAATAAATTTTAAGTAGATGTTCACTTAAGTATATTTTTTTGTTTATAATTTACACCTGCTTCAGCAATGGAAATGTACATTTCTCATGCCAATAAAGCCCCTTTGAACTGAATTGTATTAAGGCACTGCGCCTGCGTAACACAACAGGATGTTCAACGCACCACTGTTTCTGTTTAAATAAACGTTTGCTCCGTTTTGGGCTGAACACACCCCAGATTTCCCTGCCCCTCTCTCAGCTCAAATCCAACGGATGGTTGCTGGCTTTACGGCTGTTGCTCCAACTACAGATTGTGCTTTTGCGTTTTCGTTTGCCTGCTAACAGACACAAAGAGTATAGAAGCAGATCGAGCGAAAAACCCGCCCCTGTCTTTCGTTCTCAAATGCAGACCAAAACAAACAAGGAAGTGCTGGTAAAATAACTCAAGATTGCCTATTTCACATCTAAAATGCCTTCAGAGACATATTTAAGTGCACAGTTTAGCTGTAATATGAGAATTTGTGAACAGGAAGTGGGCACCGTACTGTTTCCTGTATTGTTCATTTTCACTTAAGTTTTATGGAGACGGGTGTTTTTGCTGTGAGTGTGTTTACTTCTGCATGGTGAGTGACAGTTTGTTGGTGGCCAACTTGATCTTGTTTTGGGCTTCCAGGTGCGTCATCCCCTCGGTGCTGACCCCATCGATGGCTGAGATGATGTCGCCCTGGGCCAGGCTGCCGCCCACTGCCTTGCTGCCCGGAGTTATCTATGGAGGGGTCAACAGAGCAGGTCACACTCGGGGCACTGACACAGATTCCTCCGGAAACAAACACGTAACTTAAAACTTTTTACAGTTACACAAACATACACATATTACATTAGAGGGATATCTATGAATGCTGGAGAAATCTGCCAGGGGGAGGATAAGAAAGACACTGTAAACTGGGATGTAGCAGCTAACGCTCCAGAGTTATTCATCAGCTCTGCATCATCAAAACTCTTTTTTTCCAATTGTCAGCCGTATCTCGACCTTCAGCTGAATCACTGCGCTCCTGGCTCCGCTACAAAGCCAGATTTCAGTGCTTAAACTACACAGAGAGGAGGTTTAAGTGAGTCCGGAGGCCTGGGGCAAACATACAGTGTTAGGTCTAAGCTTACAGTCAACTCGTTAAAGAGTTAAAAATAAGCAGCGCTGTTGATGCCTGAGGCTTCACTGTGATTGACCCGACCGAGCCCCCCTCCATCCCCCAAACACACACATACACCACACCACACCCCTCCCACACACCTGCTACTGACATTCATCCAACACTTCCTTGTATCTATCTTTTTTTTTTTACTTAAATTAAAGGTCCAGTGTGAAGGATTTAGGAGACATGCTGGCAGTAATGGAATATAATCTTATAAGTATGTTTTCTTTAGTGTATAATCACCTAAAAATAAGAATTGTTATGTTTTCGTCGCCTTAGAGTGACCCTTTTATGTTTGAGAGATGAAGACAGATTATTCAGCTCCCTGTAAAAACATCCAGCTCAATGAACACTGAAGGAATTCTTACCGAGAGAACTTTCAGCTGGTTGCAATCTGCAGCCCTCACAGCTAGATGCCACTAAAAATCCCTCTAAATCTTACACGCTGGACCTTTAAGTCTTCCTTGCCACAATCCACATTTTAACTACTTTACTCCACATCGCGTAACGTCCTCTGTTCTGCTTCTTAAACTGTCACGCCCACCCTTGTTCCTCCTGTCCTCCTTTTCATGTCTGCTTTTGCACGTCAGTTTCTTCCTTTGAATTACAGTCATTGTGCGTGTGTGTGTGTGGGAGTGTTAGACTGTGAGTGAAGCAGACATGTAACACTGCCCCGCCACTCTGTCATGCATGTTTTCTATAACAGATGAGTGGAATAGGAACAGGAACAGGAAGTGGAAGTGTTTTTCTTGCGCATTTTATATCCAAACAATGTGTTATATCAGTCTATAGAGAGACTGGATATATTCCTACTTGGACCCATGGATTGTATGATAAAGATGGACGACATGCCAGCTCCTCAAAAGTGAAGCCAAAACATCTCGATCACCTCTCGGTGGTTGGCTGCAGCGTAGGTTATAAACTCCGCCCCCTTCATGTTAGCAGATGGGACGCATACTGAAACTAATAGATCAAAGTTTGTTTTTAATTTGTCATGTGATGCTATAAATGGGGTTTGTCGTCATGACTGTGAGCCAATCTGTGTGCTCGCGATTGGTCAGACAGGTAAACGAGCCGGAACTGGACACGGGGGGTGCCGTTGGGGGGTGGGGGGCGGTTGTGGGGGGAGGGTGTCGCCCAGGGCGCCATTTAGGCTAGAGCCGCCACTGACTGCAGAGATCGCTGCTGCTCAGACTCTGGCTCCAAATGATGTCACCAGCACAAGATGGCAGCGGCCCTGACATTCTTACCCTGACCTTAAACCCTGTCACTTACATTGCCTAAACCAAACCAATCCAACTGACAAAGGCAACGAGTGCTAGCCAATCAGAGTAAGGAGAGTAGGTCAGGTCATGCCTTCGCTATCCTAGGGAACGCTCTTGGATATTTTGGCTTTGTTTTGTGGGTGGCATTACGTGGAGACGGTCTATGCTTGGACCACGTACATGCTTCTGCCATCTGTTGATAGTGTCCAAGGAGATGATGCCTTAATGTTGCCTCAAGACAGCACGTTCATAGACTCCCGACAGCCCCACCAATAGTCATATAAAACAGGGGTTGGGATCACCAGAGGCCCCACGATACCATATTGTCACGCTACTTAAGTCATGATACAATATTATTGCGATTTTAACAAGTATTGCATAACATATGTTGCAATCTATTGTGATTTATTACCTTTTTCAACAGCAAGTTATGTTCCCAAAGGAAAACATCTGTTCAAAGTTTTCTGTCCGTTCATCTCAATCCTTTCTTTTTTAATTTAGCAAAATATATCTGGTGGACTAAAAAAGCGATTGATTTGATTATTTTAGTGGGCTACTAAAAGTTAAATTGAGATTTTGCTCGTTTAGCAATTTACGTGATTAAAAAAAAAAAAGATACTTCGTCGCGATATATCCCGGTACTGTGCTGTATCGATTCCTCCCACCGCCTAACATATAAAATAACTGGACAGCAGAGAAACAGTTTAGTGCGTCACATATTTAATAAGCGGACCTGCAGCTTGGCTAACAAGATGTCAGGAATCCACTGCCTTCATTCCTCTTTCCTTTCTTAGTTCTTGGCAAAAGTAGGCCGAAATCCAAACCGCTGCGGTGTTACGTCAAACTGTAATGACACCCCGAGTTGTCACGTCAAGCTGTCGTGTTTTATGTTAACCTGTCAAAGCTAAGCAGAACCACAGGATGAACTCAAATCCAATGATACAATGTCATGGCGGACGCAGGTCAAAGCCCCCCCGCGGTTGCCTGAGACTAAGGGATCAGAGGACAACAGATGCCTGCAGCTGCGAATCAATATAATCACCAGCTGAGCATCAATCTGGAATAAAGGACGAGACTTAACGTCCGCACCTCCTCTACCGTCCCTCATCTCCCGAATCTCTCAAATCCCCCCATCCATCCATTCCTTCACAATGACGCTGTGCTCTCAATAGCTGCAGCTCCAAAAAGGTGAAACTGAAACTGAACTATAAGCGAGGGAAAAAGCTTACCAAAAGGTAACACAAGCTGCCTTTAGCTTCCTCGCTTCTGTCCTGTCCCTTTCCCACCCTTCTGTGTCTGTCCATCCACCTCTCCTCCAGTGCTATATAAAGGAAACGCTGTAAATACACCAGCAGTCCTGCCAGAGAGAAAGAGAGACACCGAGTCTCTCTGCTGCGGAGGTTAAAACTAGAGTGACACTTCATGTTGCCCCCTTTCTCTCCAGTCCCAATAATTAAAGGCATCTTTATATATGCTGAGAATGTCTGAGCGTGAGTGTTTATGTTCTTGTTATCACTCAGTTTCTTTAATAAATCACCCTCTTTGTCAGCTGGCATTTGCAGCACTGAAAGACGACTTTAACTTTGTTGTAGTTGATTATGTCTTTGTTAGGAAATCTATTTTGGAATGACGTAAAAGATTTGATCGGTAAAATACGCCAATTATTCTGAAAAGAATCAGAACCCATTGTCTTGAATCGATGATACATGGAGCTGAAAAGTAGCTCCACTTTAACCGTGATTGATCTTGCTGATTACGACCTGTAAGTTCGAGGGAGGACTCTGTAAATGAAGTAAATATTATACTCATTTTCTTTTTTCCCCAAGAGCGATATTGCAGCAGCACGTCCACACCAGAAAAAAAAAAAGCTATTCTAGTCTTTCCACTGTTGCTCTATTCTTGAAATCTCTCTGGACATTACATCTGAGCCTCCCTGTCATCATCACATACAGCAACATTACATAACCGCTGCTCAGCTACTGCACACACACATACCTCGACACAAGCCTGATGGAGTTTAAACATGCAACACGTTATTGTCAGAGGTGATTTCCAGGTAAAAAGCTTAAAAACTGGGCTAAATCTGGCATGGAAAATAAACATTTTCGGACATGTAGGTTACCTTTAATTGTGTGAGGGACTCTATTTTACAGTGTCACTGGTGCTATAATAAACCTGCTTCACTTACAGTCGTTTAAATGTTGAAGCACAAGGTAGTTGTGACATACACATCTAAAAAAACACTCAGACTAATTTGGTCAACTTATATTTTCACCTGCAAATCACCAAATTGATTCTCACTCTGAAGTTAAAGGGCTCTGTGTTGACATCATGGTGCATTGTGTTAGTATCAGTGTATCATGTTGAAGACCTTCAGTTTCAGTTTAAAATCAGCTGTTTTTGTCACAACAGCATGTGAGAGTGTCTCTGTCCTTACCCTGGAGATGGTGAGTGGCATGTTGAAGTCCTTCCCTCCCTGTAGTCTGAAGCCCCATGGAGCGGGGCCATTCAGAGTCACTGTGTACGTACTCATCTTCGGTTAAACGTCAACACTCCTCCTGCTAACAACTCCGCTGGCTGTGTGGCTTCTCCTCCTGCTCGCTGTGTGCGTGTTCTCCGTCCTCTCCCCCTGCTATCCTTTTGTCCTGGCCGGCCTCTGTTGGTCGCTTCTCCTCCGTCAGCCCCTGGCTTCACTACCGTCTCTCCCTGTCAGCTCACAGTTCTCAGGACAAACACCCTGGACGAGTGGCGGTGACGGTGGGTGGGTGAGTCAGGTGCTGTGGGACCTCTGTGACACACACACAGGCATGCACACAGATACAGATATGTGTAGATAGACAGAGCCACTGCAGAACACTACACTTCTTTCTGACTAGAGCCACACAAAACAGCAAACCAAAAAACTCCCCAAACAATGCTCAAATTTAAAAAAGTGCAAACTCTAAAAAGTCAACTTCAAACTTATTATTAGGAGAGAAGAGGTTCTTGCCTGCAGAGTTGCTGAGGGCGAGGGACAGACAGCCTAAGAATAGCCGAGGTGAGCATAGACACAGGGGCCCTGGCCCTTATAAGGCCTGTAACACGAAGCCCCAGAATGCTTCACTGCCGATTCACATCGCCAATATAGACCCCTCTTACTGCAACACATTCTCCCTCTCTCTTTCTCCCTCTCTCAGTGCTATCAGTTCATGCTGCTAGCACCCTGTTATCCGTAATCTGTGCACTGATGTCATTCGCCTGTCGGTCTCACGCGCTTTCATTCTGCTCGAGAAAAGGAAACAACACATTACCTGCTGCTGTTTCCCTGGAAACCCCTCCCCCCCCTCACACACACACACCAGGCTGATTGAGCTCTGTGTTTGTGTGTGTGTGAGATTCGGAGCAATTCAATTAGCAGCCACCCGCAGCTGCTGAGGTTAAGTGAACACAAACTGAGTCCGACATTGTTTCAAAGGTGGCGACAGACTTTTCTTTGAAATCATGACCTGGTATAATAGTGGCACAAGCACACACTGTGTAATTGAGAAGTTTATGCACAGTGTGATGCTAGGCACCTGATTTTAAAGGAGCAGTGTCTAGGATTTAGGTAAATTTAGCGGTGTAAAGCGGCGTGGAATGCAGATTTCAACCAGCTGAATATTTCTATTCCTTCAGTGTTCTTTGTTTAGGAGTTTTTTTTTTTTACCAGGAGCTGAATTATCCACAGATGTCTCCTCCTCTTCAAAACAAACAGACCCGGTGATTTAAACCAGTTAAAACACTCAATAAAGCAGTTTCACATTTAAAAAAATTGTTTGCTTTTACAACACGTTGCGAAGGGGCCTCTAATGACATTGGCCGAAGCAAGAACCCAAACAGACCTATCACCCGCCAGAGATTGGTTTGTCCGTTCTGGGCTACTGTAGAAACACGGCTGTGCCACATGGTAGATGCGGACCCGCTCCCTTTGTAGGTATAAACGGCTCATTCTAAGGTAAGACAAACACAGTGATTCTTATTTTTAGGCGACTGCACACAAATGAAAACTTACTTCTCATATTATATTCCATTTCAGTATTTCCCTCTAAATCCTACTCACTGGACCTCTAAAAAGATAAGAGATGGTGTTTGAGCAGTAAGCCGGAATTTATACTTCGGCATTCAATCAACGCAATACCTACACCATAGCCTGATGTTCACCTCCCAGAAATGTAGCTACATGTTGCGGCGACACAGACCTCCTGTCTATTTCTGTAAGCTGAAACCATTTCCCTCAGTGGAAACAAAGCTTTTATTTACTTTAATTTCACAGATAAGAAACAATAAATTGTGAAGACAATAAAGCCTCCACAAAAATAGCATTTTAAGTCTTGTGTATGATTTATCCTGGCTTCATATGAGCAGAGGAAATCTCTGCTTGTCGCTAGGCTAATTCATACAATGTAAAATTCCATAGGCTTGTGCTAATAACGTTAGCATGTTATATTTGTTTGGAAAACGTGTTTAGTATAAGACAGTTGTTTTGTCAGTGAACCTTGTGAGTTGTAATGGAGCCAAATTTTGTAACGTTACCTTTGTTAAATGTTGCTGTTGTCCCTGGCTTCATATGAGAAGAGAGAAGTCCGCTAGCTGCTAGGCTAATTTATACAATGTAAAATGCCATAGGCTTGAGCTAAATACATTAGCATGACGTATTTGTGGGGAAAATGTGTCCAGATAAAGACAGTTGTTTTGTCAGTGAACCTTGTGAGCTGTAATGAAGCCGAATTTTGTAACGTTACCTTTGTAAAATGTTGCTGTTGTTCCTGGTTTTATATGAGTAGAGAAAAAAGTCCTAGCCGCAAGTCAGCTTCACTATAACTCGCAGCATTCACTTCTCTCTTCTCATATAAAACCAGGGACAACAGCAACATTTAACAAAGGTAACGTTACAAAATTCGGCTCCATTACAACTCACAAGGTTCACTGACAAAACAACTGTCTTATACTAAACACGTTTGCACAACAAATATAACATGCTAACGTTATTAGCACAAGCCTATGGCATTTTACATTGTATATGTATATACTCATATGAAGCCAGGATAAATCACACACAAGACTTAAAATGCTATTTTTGTGGAGGTTTTATTGTCTTCACAATTTATTGTTTCTTATCTGTGAAATTAAAGTAAATAAAAGCTTTGTTTCCACTGAGGGAAATGGTTTAGCTTACAGAAACAGACAGGAGATCTGCGTCGCCGCGACGTGTAGTTACATTTCTGGGGAGGTGCACGTCAGGCTATGGCGTAGGCTCTACGTCGATGCAGAGCCCATGCCATAGGTACGGCGTCAATCCAACACAGAGGTATAAATTCCGCTTAAATTGTCTGTAGGTGTGAATGTGAGTGTGAATGGTTGTCTGTCTCTATGTGTCTCTGGTGACCTGTCCAGGGTGTACCCTGCCTCTCTCGCCCAACGTCAGCTGGGATAGACTCAGGCTGAGCTGAGAGGTGGAGACTCTTACTTACTTGTTAGGTTATAAACCTGAAGGCAGGTGGGCAGACTGATGAGTGTTCGACAGACCAAAGTCGAAGTTCAGAACACAATGCAGTTTTCTTTGTATGTGCGCTAGGACACAGGCAAACATAGCTGGGGTCAACAAAGGGAAGCAGGTAGAATGAACAGCTGTTTGTTAATGTGAAGTGAAAGCACCTGAAGTGGGCGTTTCCCTTCCAGGTGGGGGTGCTTGTGCTCTCCTCCATGCCTCAGGTGTGATCACGTGATCTCTTGACGGGGACTTCTAAATGCACTGAAGGGAGCAGGAAGCAAAGCAACTACATGGAAACACAACCAACAGTTTTGGAGTTAGCGAGGTAACTTCAGGGTTAACTCTGGGTTTTCAGTACTACGAAGCTGGTTCTCTTTTTATAATAAATCACCGTGGTAACTGATGCTGAACAGCTAACAGGTTAACTTCAGAGTATCTGATCATAGCCTGTCAACACCCCGACCTCTGACCAGTCAGATCACTGAAGAAAACAGTGTTTATGAACAAAAGTCTGGCGTCTGAGGTAAAGAAGAGGAGCCTATGCTGTTAGAGGTCAGTAGAGTCATTTCATTGCTCCACAGGTCTGTACTACGAAGCCAGTTCAACTTGCCCAGGATATCTTCTCACTATCTGGTTTGACTAACCCTAACATTGGCCACCTGGATAACCTGTACTACAAAGCTGGTTATCAGCTAGTTCAGGTTTTCCTATCCAGCCACGAGCACGTTCATGTGAAGGAGGCGGGGGTGTTAATTATGAGCGACATCATCAGAACCATGAATGGAGGAGGCTGCTTCATATGATATGTGATGAAACAGTAGCGAAAGACAGTAAAATGTCAGTGGCGTGGGATGTAAAGGACAAGGTATCACTGAGCTATGGGCCTGTGTGACATTAGTATAGAATATTATTGGCTGTTTGGTTGGATGATGATGAAACGCCTCTGAATATGTCACATAAAACACTTTACAGTAACATCAGACTGTTTCTGCTGCTGAAGTAAAGTAACAGTGTGTGGATTATTTTACTAATAAAATATGATCTGTTTTATCCTAGCTCTCACCACACAGGTGTCTTGTGTTATTTTGAGCTGCAGTGATGGAATCAGAGTGTAAAAGAGGACTGGAGCACACTGATTCATTTGCAGCCTTTAATTGTGTAAAGGGAGTAATGTCTCAACACCACCGTGTTCATCAGCGTCAAAAAAGAGGGAACAACTCTGAATGACTGAATTATATTGATTTAAAGAAAGCAAACCAAATGGAGACACCTACACCCACTTACACCCTCCACTCCTACAAATCAATTACCGACTCTTACCTCTGCGGGGTGCCATGGTTCTGCAGGGACGATGATTCAGGTCAAACAGCATGCAGGATATCTGTCCATTTCTCTGACATATTGGTTAAATATGACCTAAGCTGATCCACTCTGTTATCTGACATCAGGATGTTCCATCTAATGGGCTGGATGGATCTCATCCATTCAGGAAACTGACCTAATGATTTATGAAAATATCGGTCAGTTGATGGACAGATGATGCATTAGGAGCTGCAGTGACCACAGTCATTGTGGTGCTGCACATGAATGTGTGTGTGTGAATATGAGTGGAGAAAGATGGTGTTTCGATCTTTTTTTTGCCAAATAAATGTAGTCATGTCCAGGGCCGCCCATAAGGGGGGAAAAAGGGGAACGTTTTCTGGAGCCCATGGATGCCAGCAATAATAACCATTTGATTTTGAACAAAACATTCACTGTTGCTAATTACATTAACGAAAATAAACGTACAATACAGATCATTGCTTTAGTAAAATGTATCCTGTCTCATAATGAAAAAGAACTCTCTTCTGAAAATGGTATGAGTCATTTTTTTTGGTGCGCAACCGCTGCATAAAAAGCAAAAGGCGGGCAGCCATGTGACCTCAGAAACTTACTGATTTAAACAATGACTTACCTTGCAACGCCAGAACCTCCTGACACAATTTCTCTCCCAACTCGTCAAATACTAACACTTGTTCAGTGGCCCTGCACGTCAAAATATGACGCACAAGGTACCCCTCCAGAATCAGCTTTGGATGTTCAGGGACTGCGTGTCAATTTATGCCCGTTACATGCATTGTGTATTTTCAAAATAAACTCCACCTTTCACAGGAAATGTACAGTTCTCACTCATTAAATGCATAGTCTATTTCAAAATAAAATTAAGGGGGAAAAACCCTAATTTTTAGGGTTACTTCATTAGATTTTGGCAACAAAAACAGATGGTTAGGTTCAGAAAAAAACATGGTTTGGCTTAAAAAAACTACGCTTGTTGGTGACATAATGCAACTTCACCTTTACCTCACATACGTCACTAGCTTAGTATGCTACCGATACTAGCACCCTACGTTGCTATTAACACTTTCCCCACCATTGACGAGATATTCCGGCAATCCGTGTTTTCAATGTTATGAAATAGGGGGTGCTG